CTGATGTTTCCCTCTACGCTCCTTCCAGCTTCCCCCCCCAGTTGCATCTGCTCTGCTAGAGGTAGTCCTTTTCCACTTGGGAAATGGGCCAAGTGTGGCAAGAAGCGGATGGTTAAAAAGATTATAAAACTGTTCCATAGGAAGGAACAGAAGTGCAAGGGAGGAAAGCAGAGATAATGGCAGATGGCTTCTCCAGCTGTAGTGTTCGCCCCCCCCCCCCCGTATCAACAGATTTATAAAGGCGCAAGTGGAAATTTATAAAGTAAAATGTGCAGGCACCCCACTAAATGATTTCCTTGAAGTCAGCCTGGCTGCTCCCAAAGTTCAATATTTTTAGCAAATGAATGAGGTCAGAACTGTGAATGATGAGTGAATTCTTTGGACTGGGGTGCTGAAGACGGGCTGTTTTGGCCTCCTTTATAGTGCACATTTCTTTCCTGCTTCTAGTCCTTGGAACAACCATAGTTCTGAAGACCTGCTGGATTTCTGCTTTGGCTTTCCTTTCCTCCAACCTCAATGTTATTTTCTTCAAATGCTGAAAATACACAAGAAGTAGCAGACACCCAAGCAGTCATTAAAAAAATTCATTGCATAGTTAACTTACCATGCAAAGGCCTACATATATACTCAGAAGTCTCCTTGTGTCAATGGGGCTTACGCCCAAGTTGGTATGTACTGGATTGCAGCCTTGGTTTTCTTGTGCAGAAGGATCAGATCTTAAATACAGGCAACCCACTATGGGTAATGTTATTTTACCTTGTTACTGAATAGATAACACCTCGCATTTTAGTATCAAATGCAAAATATGTCAAATTTGGAAGTATGAAGGAAGCAATAATTTAGTTCTTGGTATAAAAACTGATCATGAACAAATATGAGGCACTGACAGCCATTTCACATAATATATCTGAATCTATTTGAGCGTTATTTTTAATTTAAAAAATGTCATGAACTAAATAGATATGTTATTAACTGAGTTATAGCTCTTGGTATTGACATGCCTAAATATTTAACAGATTTGGAACAAATGTGGAATTGATATTCCTTAAATGTATGGGTGAGGGACGCAGGTGGTGCTGTGGGTTAAACCACAGAGCCTAGGACTTGCCGATCAGAAGGTTGGCGGTTCGAATCACCGTGACAGGGTGAGCTCCCGTTGCTCAGTCCCTGCTCCTGCCAACCTAGCAGTTCGAAAGCACATCAAAGTGCAAGTAGATAAATTGGTACCGCTCTGGTGGGAAGATAAACGGCGTTTCCGTGCGCTGCTCTGGTTCGCCAGAAGCGGCTTAGTCCTGCTGGCCACATGACCCGGAAGCTGTACGCCGGCTCCCTCGGCCAGTAAAGCAAGATGAGCGCTGCAACCCCACGACTGGACCTAATAGTCAGGGTCCCTTTACCTTTAAATATGTGGGTAAGCAAATTTTCACCTATTGGCTTCAATTTCATATTTGTACCAGCTAATGGAGCACAAAATATGGTCTGAAGCTCAACATCAAAAAGCTAAGATTATGGCCACTGGTCCCATCAGCTCCTGGCAAATAGAAGGGGAAGAAATGGAGGCAGTGATTTTACTTTCTTGGGCTCCGTGATCACTGCAGATGGTGACAGCAGTCATGAAATTAAAAGACGCCTGCTTCTTGGGAGAAAAGCAATGACAAACCTAGACAGCATCTTAAAAAGCAGAGACATCACCTTGCCAACAAAGGTCCATATAGTTAAAGCCATGGTGATGTATGGAAGTGAGAGCTGGACCATAAAGGCTGATCGCTGAAGAATTGATGCTTTTGAATCCTGGTGCTGGAGGAGACTCTTGAGAGTCCCATGGACTGCAAGAAGATCAAACCTATCCATTCTGAAGGAAACCAGCCCTGAGTGCTCACTGGAAGGACAGATCCTGAAGCTGAGGCTCCAAGACTTTGGCCACCTCATGAAAAGACTCCCTGGAAAAGACCCTGATGTTGGGAAAGATGGAGGGCACAAGGAGAAGGGGACGACAGAGGACGAGATGGTTGGACAGTGTTCTTGAAGCTACCAGCATGAGTCTGACCAAACTGCGGGAGGCAGTGGAAGACAGGAGTGCCTGGTGTGCTCTGGTCCAGGGGGTCACGAAGAGTCGGACACGACTAAACAACAACAACAAATAGAGTAACTTGATATTTTACCAAAGGCACCTATCATTTGCATCAACACAGGAATAATAGAACAAGAGAACTGTAGAGTTGGAAGGGATTCTGAGGGTCATCTTTTTTTTTTATATATAAAATATTTATTGAAATTTTCAAAGTGTTACAGCATAAAATAAAAGCAGAAGAAAATACAAAATAAAAATAGTTAACAAAGTAGAAAAAGAAAAAAAAAACAAACCCCTTCCAACCATACGAATACAAATTCAAAAATAAGAAAAAAAGACAGAAAAAAACCCAAAAATACAATTTAAGAACATTTAAAACAAATTCATTATTCTCGAATCCTCAACTGTCATTACCTTCTTTCTTTGACCTCCTCCTCCTCCCTTTCTTTGTATCCTAGTTATTAATTATCCCAGCAAATCTTTTCCATATTTCATAATAATCTGTCATTACATTACCCTAAACAGTTTTAATCTTATCTTTCTATAAAAAAATAAACCTTAAAGCTTAAAACTTAAATCTTATCCTTACCAACTTCTCATAACCATAATATTCTTTCATAATTCTTTAAACATCTTTACTAAAGCCAAGTAATTTCATTCCAACATTTTTCTGACATTCATCAATTTTATAAAACAGTTCTAATGGTAGAAAAAAGAAATGCAAACAAATCCAATCTTCATCCAACGTCCCTTCCTCCTGGTTCCGGGTTTTGTCAGTCCTTATTATCCCATCGATCTGGCCCATTAACCTGGCAACCTTATATCCGAGGCCGTCAAGTCTCTTCCATGTCCCTTCCGCAGCTCTTCTTCATATCTGTAACTGTATTTTCCCTTGTCTCCTGCTCGTGGTAACTCCAGCTTGGCAATATTTTTAACCCTTCTTGACATATCAGCCCCTTTTCCATATTCAGCACTGAATTCCATATGGTATTTAGAAGCATGTTTCAATGACCCTCCAAAATTAAGAGCCTCCACAATCCCAAACATCTCACGGCCCATTGCCAGATTTGAAAAGTCCAAACATCCGAGCATAGGGGGGTCAATGCAGCCCCCCATTTCCAAGCCAAACCAAACTTTTTCTTTCCAAATCTGGCTTTTTCCAAGTTCATTTGTCAAATCCGAAAACTCATATTCCTGTTGGGCCTGTTCTGTCAGGACACACTCCTGATTTAATTCCTGGGTGGGCTCCACATATTTTCCCACTGTCTGTTCAAAATTTCCCACTGCCTGTTCAAAATTTCTAGTCGAAGTCGTCATCAAATTCACCTTCTCATGTAACTGTTCCAGTAGGGCATTTGTTTTGTAGAAAGCACACAACAAAGCTTCTGAATACATTGTCCTGCAAGGTCAAATGCCTATTCCCACGGTTGTAATCTGTAAACAGCTGCCGGCTCCCTGGAGTTGGTTACAGTTTCACAGTCTCCCTCTAGGGGGAAAACTTCTATTTGATCTTGCAACAAAGTTTCCCTTTTGAGATACTTTGTCAATATTTGTTCCTTTGAAATGCGAAGGAAACAGTGGAATCACTATGTTTCTCTTCTTTTAGCTATCTGTCAAAAACGTTTGTCTCTGGTCAATGAACTACAAACGTCACTCCTGCCACCCCGCTCCAGGATCAGGACGGCTGAAATTAGCTTTACAGTAAACTCACGTGAAACAGTCCAAAAGATCCCCTTCTTCTCCTGCTGTCGAAGGGGGGTTCCACAATTTTAAATGATGAAATCCAATCCTTTAAAAGCGATTTTCTGAGCTCTAGTTTACGTTGTCTTTGCTTTATTCTGTCTACAGAAGAACGGAAGGCTGACTTCCTGTTTAAACCTTCCCGTTCCGTACCAAATTTAAATAGGTTTTTAAAATCCAGTTCCTTTCTGCTCGCAAGTCCTTATCTAATGTCCAGTTGTTCAAAGTCTAAGTACTCACGGGTGCTTATTTTAGAGTCCAAATTGTCCCAGGAAAAAGGCAGCGCTCTCCGGCAACGGCTATGCGGCTTCGCTCCACGGAAATAGCAGTTGACTCACAGCACCGCGCCACTTCCCCCTCTTCACTTTGGAGCCCGTTGGTGGGTTCCTTAGCGAGTTGGGGGGGGGCTAAAGGTGCCCGCCGAGTCCCATGGTCACAAGCTTCATCCGCCTGTGATTTTTAAAAGGGTCCCCGCTTCGCCGTAGCGGAAAAGACCTGTTTCCCGCGGAGCTAGTCCCTCCAGTTCAGAGGGAGTCCGCCATTGCCGATGGCGCCACCCTGGAAGTGGGATTCTGAGGGTCATCTAGTCCAACCCCCTGCCATGAAGGTGTGGGGTTCAAACCTTGGTGTTATCAGCACCACACTCTAACCCACTGAGCTAGCCACAGGGAACAGTAATATGACGCTTAGAAATAAACAGAAGAATATCATCTGCAAATAAAACCAATATATATTCAGCTGAATTATAGATTGCTCCATAGATCTCCCTGTATTGTCCAATAGCACAAGCTAAAGGGTTCCAAGCAAATATTCAAAAGCAAGGGTGAATCATATACTGTAATACCTTAATCCATTTTATTAATTCCAACGGAAATCCGAATTTCTATAATGCAACCACCATATACCTTTTAGAAGCTGAAAAAACCTTTGATAAAATATATAATGTTAAAATTATAAATTGATTTTTTGCATACGTCTGTTAAGACCACAAGTATCCTGATATTATTATACAAATAAATAGGCCTGACTCGGAATTCCAGCTCCCCGCCTTCCTCTCTCCCTCCCACGTGGCTCCCGGGAAGCCGCGCGCCCAGGCGAAGCAGTCAGGCGCCCGAGCCTTCGAAGCGCGCATGCTCCCACGGCCGCGCGCTCCGAACCTTCGCTTTCTCCTTGTGCGCATGTTCCCGCCAGGTTCCAAGATGGAGGCGGCAAGCGAGGTCGCCGGTCACGTGGGCAGGAATTTCAAGGCGCCCCTCCTCCTCCCCCCCGTCACGGCAGCCCCGACCCGCTGACCCGGAAGCGCTCCGCAGCCTGCGCCGGTTTCCCGCCTCTCGCTGCCTCGCGGTGTCGCCGGCTGCGCGCAGCGCGAGAGGCCTCCGATGGGGGTTCCGGCTTTTTTCCGCTGGCTGAGCCGCAAGTACCCGGCCATCATCGTGTCCTGCGTGGAGGAGAAGGTGAGGCGCGCGGGCGGGCGGGCGGGCGGGGAGGGGCCCTGGCTCTGCGGCCTTGTCGGACCCGAGGCCCGGCTGAGGGCGGCGGGAGGGCCGGGCGCCAGGGGCCTCCCCGCAACCCCCCTCGGGCTTCTCCCGGTCCGCGGCGCAGATGCGCAGAACTTGGCCCCAGAGCAGCCCCTTCGGCAGGCGGGAGCGCGCTTGGGAGCTCGGGGGCGATGCAGCCCTTTCGATCCTGAAGATGCGTCGTGCGAAGACGTTGCCTTCAAAGCCGTGATGGCTTTGCCCTAGAAGGGATGGGGGGAGGCGGCGGTCTTGATGGGGCTACACTCCCGCTGAAGTAGCCGGGACGGAGCCTGTGAGTCTTCCGGATCCTGGGCTGCTGCTTGAGGCTCGGAAGGGCCTTCCCTCAGCTTCCGCTGGCGGCCCACCTTCACCCCTTCTGGACAGGGATACCTAACTGTGCCCTGGTAACCTCTAGGTTCGGTTACTTCCACGCATAGTATGTGGGGCTGCCTCTGAAGACGGTGTGGAAACTTCAGCTGGTGCAGAATTCAGCGGCCAGCTTGCTCACTGGGGCAAGATGGTTTGAGCATATTACTGCAATCCTGGCCAACAAGCCTGTGTTGGTTTTAATGTTCCCCATGCACTGAATACAAAAGTTTTTTTGGTTTTAATTTATGGTTTTTGTACCATACATGATCCCCCCCCAAGCACTCTCTCCCACTTTGTGGAGCCCACTTGGCTCCTTGGTATACTCCAGAACTTAAGGTGAGGCAACAAGCTGGAAGGTTGCTTGAATGGGAGTGGAGGAAAACTCCGGTCAAATGCAATCGAAAACTGTGAGGGCTCATCATCAAGCATATCTAGTGGCACGGAAGGCAGCAAAAAAGGCATACTTTGCTGCCTCCATTACATCCTCATTGTGTCATCTGGCAGAGTTTTTCAGGTAGTTTGGGGCCTTTCACGGTCTGGCCTGAAGGAAGTGGTATCTCACCGAGACTTGTTTGCGGAGCGCTTTGAGGAAAAAATCACTTTCTTTTACCAGGATCTTGACTCGTCTATCACAACAGATGAAGCACGATTGGTGTCCAGAGCAGTGTTCGAAATTAGCCAGGCACCAGGCGCATTTTACACCTGACTATCTGCCACTTGCGACCAAGTGAAAATGGCGCCTGGCATCATCTCCATCTGGAAGTGTGTGCCTGGGGATCCTTGGATCTTGACTGTTTTCACACACTAAGACCACATTCTGTAGAATTCTCTCGGTTGTATTTTATCTGCACTATCAGAATGAATTTCAAGAATCAAAATGCTTTTTCTGTGCAGCCTGAGCAGGAGCACTGAATGACATTATAGTTAATTGTTGTAGCTTGTCTTCACTTACCCCACCCCACTGCGCTGCTCACAGTTAGGAAGAATATACTTACGTTATGAATGGTCCATGTTACCATTAAGAAAAAGAGGTAGGAATAGGCCAATATATATGTGAACTGTCCCTGAATCAAATGACTTTTCTTCTTTAAGTTCTCAAAGTTCTTTTTTTTTTTTAATTGATATTTATTAGAGTTTCCAATAAAGAGAACACATCAGTAAAAAATTTAAAAAGAAAAAAGAAAAATACATCGTTCAAAAGTACACAATACATAATCCAAAAAAGAACAAAAAACAAAAGACAAAAAAGAAAACAGTTAAAAACAATACCACCTTTTCATCACCATTTTTAAATTAACTTATTTTCTGGACCTCCTCATACCTCCCTCTTTTGTATTCCAGTTCAATTTTGTTTGTCCAGCAATTTCTTTCCCTCTTTTTTAATCCCAATCCTTAATCTTAATATAGTATAACATTAAAATTTTTACCTCTTAAAAGCCAAATTTCCTAATCCTAATCCTAATCCTTAATCTTGATCTATATACAACTTTAAAGCCTGTATAGCTAGAAGCCATTTAATTTCAATCCATCGTTACTCTAACATTCTTTAATTTTGCCATGTTTCTGTAGATAATCTTTAAATTTCTTCCAATCTTCTTCCACCGACTCTTCTCCCTGGTCACGGATTCTACCAGTCATTTCCGCCAGTTCCATATAGTCCCATCAGTTTCATCTGCCATTCCTCCAGTGTGGGTAACTCTTGTGTCTTCCAATACTTTGTGATGAGTATTCTTGCTGCTGTTGTTGCGTACATAAAGAAAGTTCTATCCTTTTTTAACACCAATTGGCCAACTATGCCCAGGAGAAAGGCCTCTGGTTTCTTCAAGAAGGTATATTTAAATACCTTTTTTAGTTCATTATATATCATTTCCCAGAAAGCCTTAATCTTTGGGCACGTCCACCAAAGGTGAAAAAATGTGCCTTCAGTTTCTTTACATTTCCAACATTTATTATCGGGCAAATGGTAGATTTTTGCAAGCTTGACTGGGGTTATGTACCACCTATATATCATTTTCATAATATTCTCTCTTAAGGCATTACATGCCGTAAACTTCATACCTGTGGTCCATAACTGCTCCCAGTCAGCAAACATAATGTTGTGTCCAACGTCTTGTGCCCATTTAATCATAACACATTTCACCGTTTCATCCTGAGTGTTCCATTTCAACAGCAAGTTATACATCTTTGACAAATTCTTAGTTTTGGGTTCTAACAGTTCAGTTTCTAATTTTGATTTTTCCACCTGGAAGCCAATTTTCTTGTCCAAATTAAATGCCTCCATTATCTGAAAATAATGAAGCCAGTCTCGCACTTTGTTTTTTCAAAACTCTGCAATTTCAGTCTATCTCCATCTTGTTCCAAAATTTCCCAATATTTCGGCCATTTGACCTCCATATTGAGTTTTTCAAGGCTTTCGCTTCCATTGGTGACAGCCACCTTGGAGTTTTGTTTTCTAATAAATCCTTGTATCTTATCCAAACATTAAACAATGCTTTCCTGACAATGTGATTTTTAAATGCTTTATGTGCTTTGACCTTATCATACCACAAATATACATGCCATCCAAATACATTGTTGAAACCTTCTAGATCCAAAATATCAGTGTTTTCAAGAAGCAGCCATTCTTTCAGCCAGTAAAAAGCTGCTGATTCATAATAAAGTTTAAGGTCTGGCAGGGCAAATCCACCTCTTTCCTTTGCATCCGTTAGTATTTTAAATTTTATTCTGGGCTTCTTGCCCTGCCAGACAAATCTAGAAATATCTTTCTGCCACCTCTTGAAACAATCCATTTTGTCCACAATTTGCAAAGTTTGAAACAAAAACAACATTCTAGGCAATACATTCATTTTTATCGCAGCGATACGGCCCAGCAGTGAAAGCTTCAAATTTGACCAAATTTCTAAGTCTTTTTTCACTTCAACCCAACATTTTTCATAGTTATCTTTAAATAAATTCCCATTTTTTGCTGTCATGTTAATCCCCAGGTATTTAACTTTCTTAACCACTGTTAAACCTGTCACATTCTGAAACCTCTCTCTCTCCATTGGTGTTAGATTTTTCTCTAAAACCTTAGTTTTTAACTTGTTCAATTTAAATCCTGCAACTTGACCAAATTCTTGAATCAATTCTAAAACCCTTTTAGTACTAGATTCTGGCTCCTGTAACGTCAATACTAAATAATCTGCAAATGCTCTCAATTTGTACTGTTTAGCTCCGACCTGTATACCTTTAACCAACTGGTCCCTTCTAATCATGTTCAGCAAAACCTCCAGGACCGAAATAAAAAGAAGTGGGGAAATTGGGCAACCTTGTCGTGTCCCTTTTTCAATTTTAAGTTCTTCCGTCACCACATTATTTACAATTAATTTAGCCTTTTGTTCTGAATAAATTGCACTTATACCATTCTCAAAGCCTTGGCCTACCCCCATGCCCTGTAGATTCTTCTTCATAAATTTCCAAGAAATATTGTCAGAAGCTTTCTCCGCATCCACAAATATCAAAACTGCTTTAGTGTTTATGTTCACTTCTAGTTTTTCCAGAATATCAATTATATTCCTCAAATTGTCAGACAAATGTCTTCCTGGGAGAAAGCCCGCTTGATCTTTATGAATCTCTTCCCTTTTTTAAATCTCTTGGCCAAAATGTCAGCAAAATTTTTATAATCCACATTAAGTAATGATATAGGGTGGTAGTTCTTAAGCTGTGTCTTTTCAGTCTCTGTTTTCGGTACAAGTGTAATATATGCTTCTTTCCACGACTCTGGTGCTCTTTTCCCCTCCATTATTTCATTACAGACCTCTTTCAAAGGTTGTATTAACCATTCTTTCAAAGATCTGTAATATCTAGAAGTCAATCCATCCGGTCCTGGAGATTTACCCAATTGCATATTTTGAATGGCACCTTAAGTTCTCAAAGTTCTTAACCTAGCTCAAGGTTGTCATCTGAACCAGCCAGATGTTTAACTGATAATCGATCACAGTCAGTTCATCATTTGAAAAAAAGACTTTAGAGCTGTTTTGCCCCAAAATGGCAACTGGATGTTCCATTTTGGTGACTGTAACCTTGGTTTAAGTAGCCATTTGGCACCTAGTTTATATACCTGAATTTCTAACACGGGTCCAGAGCATTGTCCAGCAGGTAGATCGTGAGTTACCGGTAGATCACTGGATGTCTGTGGTAGATAGATGGTAGATCTGCTTTTTGCCTTCCACAAAAAAAGCCCAACAACTTTGCCTGTCAATAACAATGGCTAGATCACAGCCAGTATTTTTATAATGTGAGTAGATCATAGTCTTTTGGAAGTTGGATGTACCTGGTCTAGTCCTATTGTGTTGGATGAGTTTCATTTGGTAAGACTTGAGGACATGGACAAGCTGACACGTGAAAATGTTTCTTTTAGTCAGGCCTTTGAGTATTCTGTGGTCCTTTAAATGCTTGTGGGAGAGGGGTTATTGGGTTTATAAATGTATTTTGTGTTCTCATTTTATATTTTTATCTTGTTACTGCTCTATGATCTTTGTATAAAGGATGGTATACAGATTTAATTAACAACAACAATAGCCCTGAGCCTAGGGTCCCAGGTTTTAGCAGTAGCCAGAAGTGCATTAGCACATTCAAAACTAGTGCATCAGCTGCATCCATCTCTGGAGCTGTCTGTTCACATGGCCAGATTGCTCACTGGATTCAGTTAATTAATTTAATTTATAAATTTCTATACAGCTTTATATTTTTAAGAAAAATCTCAAAGCGGTTCACAGCATATTAAACATCAATAAAACAATCCAGAATCAAGCATTTCTGAAGAAAATAAAATATAAAGTACATACTCAAAGCAACATAATCAACAAGAAACCAAAATACCATCTCAGAGATTTCAAAATAAAACACTGCAAAGGTGGCAAACTACAGAATACATATTTAACACAAAGTAAGTTAACAAAAAACAAACAATCTTAAACATTAAAAAAAATAATTAAATGTGCATTTTATAATTGACTTCACTTAGCAACTAAAAAAGTTGCTAAGTGAAGTCAATTATAAAATGCACATTTAAAACAGCATAATTAACAAGAGAATAAAATATTATAATAAGCATGACATGGCTGTTTGACAGGCACAAAAAGATGGGGCAAAAGAATCCAATAATTAGGATTTGTTGTCAGGCATAGCAATGTCCCTCCGGTCTCACCAGGATCCTCTTTAGTAGAGCTGGGTGAGTCTGGGCTCTGCCCCCTAAGCCAGCTGGAAAGGGCCTTGCAGGGAGTGGCCTTCATGACTCACAGCCAGGCAATGTTACAGGGAGAATGGAAATTCCTTGATACGCCAGCTTACTGGCTTTCTATCTATTTCTGGGCACAACTCAAAAGTGCTGGTTATGACCCACAAAGCCCTATGTGGTTTGGGTTCAGGCTATCTGAAGGATGATATCTTCCTATATGAGCCTGCTAAGACTTTGACGTCTTTTGGGGAGGTCTTTCTCTTGGTCCCACCACCTCCACAGGCACGATTGAGGAGGATCCAAGAGAGAATCTTCCTTTTGCTGGCAGGCAAGTGCCCCCCCCCCCAGTCTTTGGCCACTAACAGGCTATTGTGGCAGGGTCTTCTGAGGGTGGATGTTGTGCTTGCCAGCCAGCTGGCACATATGGTGGCAATTTCACTCTCAAGTTGTGCAGCAGCACCAGCCAGCTGACTCGCACTGTGGCACGCACCTAGATGGTGGAGATGTCAGTTGCATTACCTGCAACAAGACATCTCAAATTGGTTGCAAGCAAACCCCAGTTGCGAAATGTGCCTGGCGACCGGGAAATTCCGAACCCTACTTGTTTGTGTGTTGCATTTGTGTGTGTACATGCACACTCTTAAATGGTTTTAAGTGTTTTCAGCACTGTTTTTAATAGGATTACTTATTTTACTTTTAAAAATGTTTATATTGCATGGCTTTAGTTGTATCTGTTTTAATTTTTGCTATGAGCCAATTTGCATCATGCATTGGGAGAAAGGTGGGATATAAATAGAATAATCAACAAATCTTGTACTTTGCTCTCTGGAGAACTTGAGACTGGAGCTATGTTGGTCTTAGTAACTTTAATCTTTTACTTAGAGTTTCTAACTTTTCCTTGCTGATTTCCTTCCCTGCTGTTCTGTTGAGTTCTTTGCTGAAAGCAGTTTGAGTGTCTTTGCCATGCTGGATTTATGCCAGAACATGATTAGTATCTATCAGCTATAATGATGTTTGTCCTACATGTGGTGAATAACTTTGTGGTCCTAGGCAGTGTCTGAAACTCTCCATGTGCTAGGCGTGTTTTGCAACTTGGCATGGTCCAATTGTGACCAGTTTTAGATCTATGGAGGCGATGTATGGTGCCTAAGACTCAAGAGTAAAACACCTGCCTCCCATGTGCCGCAATGTGAATCACCTGGGTAGTGTGAGAGTAAAAATGCCGCCCTGCACAACTTACAAGTATAATTGCTGCCATTGAGTGAAACTGCCCGTGCCTGTGCCACACCACAAGTAAAAATGGTGCTGCAGGTGGTGCAAGACTCAAAGTGCCTGACCCACAGGTAAAATTGCTGATGCTGAATGAAACTGCCCCACACGTTGCATCATAAGTCACCTGGGTAGTGCTGTGGGCAGCACATCAGTCAAAATGCTATCCCGTGTGACTGCACGATTTCTGTTCTCATCCTGAAGCAAAGTTCTTAACCCAAGGTAATATTTCTGAGTTAGTGGAGTCTATAACCTGAAGGGTATGTAACCCAAGGTACCACTGTACATACATTGAAATAGGTCTTAGTGTTTTCTGTTGCATTACTTCCAATAAATGCATATGGGATTGCAGTCCTTGAGAGATGAAAGACTTACAAAATGGCAGGTAGTTGCTTATCTGCTTTATAAAATCGGGGGACATTCTGCAAACATAAACTATATTGTTGTTTTTCTTCGTACTATATATTATTGCCTCTGCCCCCTGCAAAGTGTTTTATTTTTAAGAACAATTCCTCTTGCTTGTGAAAAGTTTCCAGTTGTATGATTTGACAGAGTTCTTCTACAAGGACTTGCAAATGTTCAAGAAAATGGCCAGAGTTTAATATCTGGTATAATTTTATTTGCTAGCTAACTTTTAAGGTTGTTCTGTTCTTGATCAAGTATTTAGTTCCTGCACATTCTGTTTGTTGCTTATTGCAGATGTAATACCAGTAATTTAAGATGCACGTAAGCTCCTTTGGGGAAAATGTGAGCATTTGGGATTCTGAACAAAGTCTGGAGGAAACTGATTTGTGGTGGGAGTCTTAAGCAATAAGTAATAAATATTAAAGGGACGCGGGTGGCTCTGTGGGTAAAACCTCAGCTCCTAGGACTTGCCGATCGCATGGTCGGCGGTTCGAATCCCCGCGGCGGGGTGCGCTCCCGTCGTTTGGTCCCGGCACCTGCCAACCTAGCAGTTCGAAAGCACCTCCGGATGCAAGTAGATAAATAGGGACCGCTTACCAGCGGGAAGGTAAACGGCGTTCCATGTGTGCTGCACTGGCTCGCCAGATGCAGCTTGTCACGCTGGCCACGTGACCTGGAAGTGTCTGCGGACAGCGCTGGCTCCCGGCCTATAGAGTGAGATGAGCGCCCAACCCTAGAGTCTGGCAAGACTGGCCCGAACGGGCAGGGGTACCTTTACCTTTACCTTTTAATAAATACAGTGGTACCTCGCAAGATGAATGCCTCGCAAGACGAAAGAGTTTTTCGTTTTTTGAGTTGCTTCGCAAGACGAGTTTCCCTATGGGCTTGCTTCGCAAGACGAAAAACGAAAACGTCTTGCAAGTTTGTTTCCTTTTTCTTAAAACCATTAATACCCTATGGGAAACCGTGCTTCGCAAGACGAAAAATTCGCAAGACGAAAAACCTCGCAGAATGAATTAATTTCGTCTTGCGAGGCACCACTGTATTAAAGTCACTAAGCAATAAGTAGCAGATATCCAGGTTGCTAAGGCTGAGTCATATGCAGAAGAATGGGAACAGCTTCCAGTGTGAATCCCTAGGAGAGAAGAACAAAGGTCTGAACACCTAAATAGCCATTGCATAGCTGAGAGTAAGAAGAAGAACTTAAAGAGGCATTACCTTACCCAGAACTTGGCTCTCTAGCATTGCTAAGTGGCTAAGATACACCCTCTGTCTTCTCTGCCAGGTGTCTCCAGAAGAGCTGCAGGGCCTTGGATGGCTGCAGGCATAATACATCTGTAGATCTGGGTTTTCACCTTAAGAATCTGATCCCACGGTTTCAAGTGAATAGTTGACTTTTTGGTGTGCGTGGGGGGGGGGCGTTCCAGTGATAGAGTGTCTGCTTTGCATATGAAAGATCCCAGATTCAGCCTCTAGCACAGGGGTTGGCAAGGTTTACCTCGCCTGGGCCAGTTCACTCTAGTGGAGGTCCTTCCATGGGCCGGATTGCGCGCACACGCCTGCGATTTCCGGCATCTGCACATGCGCAGGCGCGATTTCTGGCGTCGCAGAAGCGAGTCCCCGCACCGCCAAGTGGGCAGCTCAGTTTGGAGGCAGCTCATGGGCCGGTTAAATGACCCCCGTGGGCCGCTTGTGGCCCATGGGCCTTAGGTTGCCAACCCCTGCTCTAGCATCTTCAAGTAGAGTTGAGAAATACTCCTGTCTGAATTCCTGGTTACTGCTAGTCATTATCTACAACACCACTCCCATTATCACACCACCATCCTTTTGCTCAGAAGAGAGATCTTAAATTGGGAGTGTCCTACCACATGCATGGGACAATGACATTTTGGGACAGCCTTATAGTTGTCGTGGTGGCCATGAAGTTTTGCAACACCCCAGTTGAAGTGAGCTTGGCATACATATTGAGATCCCCCAATGCTGCTGTTCTGGGATTCTCAAAACCAAATCCAAGACCATCTTCATATGTAGTGAAATAATAGAATTGTAGAGTTGGAAGGGATCCCTGAGGGTCATCAAGTCCACCCCCTGAAATGCAGGAATCTCAGCTAAAGCATACATGGCAGAAAGCCATCCAACCTCTGCTTAAGAACCTCCAAGGAAGGAGAGTCCACCACCACTCTTGGGAGTCTTTTCCACTGTCGAACAGCTCTTACTGTTTGAAAGTTATTCCTGAGGTTTAGTCAGAATCTACTTCCTTGTAACTTGAAGCCATTCGTTAGAGTCCTATCCACAGGAGCAGGAGAAAACAAGCTTGAGAGTTTTAAATTGCAGGGGCAAGCAGAATGTGATGTTTGAATGGCTCTCTAAACTATGCCTGTGTGGGTGACTAGTGTTCCTTTACAATCTGATCATAGCATATGTGCTCAGTTTCATAGAAATGGTAGAGGGAGTCTATCCTAATACTCAGTTGGCCTGGGATTCCGCATTATGACATAGGAGGGCTTTGCTTACACTCAGTTATGTCCTCTTAACTCGACCCCCATAGCACAATCCCCTGAAGACTTTTTACACCTTCAGCCTTTTAAAATATTGCCTACATTTAAATTGGCCTCTGGCAAATTGGCGTTCTTGACAAGAACAGTTCAGGTGCTTAGTTGCATAGATAGTGAAATTTGATTTAGGTGCCTGGGCACCAGGATGGTGCCTGGCATCATCGGGATCCTTGGATCTTGACTGTTTTCACACACTAAGACCACATTCTGTAGAATTCTCTCGCTTATATTTTATCTGCACTATCAGAATGAATTTCAAGAATCAAAATGCTTTTTCTGTGCAGCCTGAGCAGGAGCACTGAATGACATTATAGTTAATTGCTGTAGCTTGTCTTCACTTACCCCACCCCGCTGCGCTGCTCACAGTTAGGAAAAATATACTTACGTTATGAATGGTCCGTGTCACCATTAAGAAAAAGAGGTAGGAATAGGCCAATATATATGTGAACTGTCCCTGAATCAAATGACTTTTCTTCTTTAAGTTCTCAAAGTTCTTAACCTTTTTTTTTGTTTAATTTATTATAACATATAAAACATTTACATTTAAACAATACATATATGCAATACACTACCTTATTTTCATAGCATAAAACATACCTACAATACTCTACATAATACCTACTTATACTATACATATCAACATACCTACACACCTACCCCACACGGACACCCACCAAGTGACTTGACTTCCAGCCATTCTTGTTACGCTACTTTATTTTTCCAACTAGCTTAAACACATTTCATTGTTTCTTTGATCTCTTCTTCTATCTTAATTTTTCTCTCCTTTCACTCTAATCATTTTCTGGATTCACTCAGTATCTGTCAAAAATTCTATTTTTTCCATATAGATTTTGATGTATTCCTTAAAGATAGTCGACTCCTTATTCACTTTTTGTAGCATATCTCCTCTTATCCTCCTGTTAATTCGGCAATATGGAAGTATTCCATCATTTTAGATAGCCAGTCTGTTTTAGTTGGGATGCTGCTGCTTTTCCAATTTTTGGCAATTAATAACCTTGCCGCCATAGTCACATACATAAATATTGGTCTGACCGTTCTTTTTATTTCCTCTGACATGATACCTAGGGGAAAGGATTCTGGTTTTTTTTCCAAATGAGAATCTAAACATCTTTTTCAATTCGTTATAAATATTTTCCCAGAATCCCACTATCTCTTTGCACTCCCACCACATGTGTAGAAAGGTTCCTGCCCCGTTTTTGCATCTCCAACAGACATCACTACAGTTTTTATACATTTTTGCCAGTCTAACCGGACTTCAAAGTTCTTAACCTAGCTCAAGGTTGTCATCTGAACCAGCCACATGTTTAACTGATAATCGACCACAGTGACTTCATCATTTGAAAAATAAGACTTTAGAGCCATCTTGCAAAAAATTGAATATTAGACATTCCATTTTTGTGACTGTAACCTTGGTTTTAGGAGCTATTTTGCACCTAGCTTACGTATCTGAGTTTCTAACGCTGGCTAAAAGTACTTGTGCCGGAGTAAGAGAGAAAAGATTCCCATAGGCATGTGGTGAGATAGCTTAGCTACCTTTCATAAATCACAGTCTGCCTTTCGAATTTCCTTTCCATTTCCACCATGTTTCCTTGATTGTGTTTTTCTTTCAGATTTGAATGTGATGCATACATCTAAAAATCTTTTGCTATTCATTGTTTGCAGCCTAAAGAATGTAATGGTATCAAAATTCCCATTGACTCCAGCAAACCAAACCCCAATGAAGTGGAATTCGATAATCTGTATTTGGATATGAATGGCATCATCCACCCTTGTACACATCCTGAGGACAAGTGAGTCACATTTGTACTTTAAATAGGTAGCTTTTATTAAACATTGTTTGGATATTGACACAATTTCTTACATTGCAGACCAGCACCCAAAAATGAAGATGAAATGATGGTGGCCATATTTGAGTATATTGACAGGCTTTTTAATATTGTGAGACCGAGGCGGCTTCTCTACATGGCAATAGATGGAGTGGTAAGTACTTAAGTGGTTGCCATTGATGTATTTGGGTCAGGGTTAATAAAAATTGTGTCTGAATCGTTTGAAGTGCTATTTTCTGCTGCAGTTTAATTTCCACTTTATTTACAGTGGACACAATGACTAAATTCCATTCCTGCATCTGTTTTGCCAGTTGGTGAACAGAGTCAAAATTAAAGTAACTGCATTTATATATGAGATGATTTTATTTTTAACACTTTGTGAGTGTGAACATTACTTATGCCACCTAAGATAGATTGTGAATGGTGGCTTCATTTAAGGTTCATTAAGGAAGCTGCTCCGGCGGGAAGGTAAACGGTGTTTCCGTGCGCTGCTCTGGTTTGCCAGAAGCGGCTTAGTCATGCTGGTTACATGACCCGGAAGCTGTACGCCGGCTCCCTCGGCCAATAAAGCGAGATGAGCGCCGCAACCCCAGAGTCGGTCACGACTGGATCTAATGGTCAGGGGTCCCTTTAAGGAAGCCACTGGTATGTGATCTCAGTTTGTTGATCTTCTTATAGCCCATCCCAGTGCTTGTCAGTGCTTAGTGTTGTGGCATACATGCACAGTCTAGAAAGGTATTGCAGGATAAGATGAGTTTGTCAACTCCCCTTCAATTTCTCTCTGAGTGCAGTCTGAACTCAAGAGTGGTATTCTTCAAGGCAGGTCCTTTTAGAATGATGTATAACCTTATTGTTCAAGAAGAACTCCTTTTTATTTCTTAATCTTGTCTTTGCATTTATTTTGGTCCTAATCCTAACCCCTGAGTGACAGCCACAGGGCACGATGGAACGGCACAGCCAGAGCTATAGCTATAGCACTGGCACTCACACCAGGTCTCAGGCTGGTACTGCAAAGGGTCATAGATCAGACCTGTCACTGTCACATGATAGCAGCTGGGTCTGCACAGGTTCTAGCCAGTCCTGTGCTGGCCCAGCCTTACCCCTCCCTGCCTCCATTTTGGGGTTTCCCTTGGCTACTGCTGGTGGGAATGCAACTGGCAGCAACTTCCATCCCTGTTTGCATCACACTTTGTCAGCAGAACTCCACCACTTACAGGGTGATACTTCTGCTCCATTCAGACGTATAGCTGTCAACTTTTCCCGTTTCTTGTGAGGAATCCTATTCGGAATAAGGGAATGTCCCTTTAAAAAAGGGAAAAGTTGACAGCTATGTTCAGGCATGCTCCAGAAATGGTGGTAGATCAGGGGTTGGGATTGTTCTGCTTAAAATGATAATGCGTTATACCCACTCTCAGTTTGCATTGCATATACACATCTGAACTAGAATACATTAATTTGTAAAATTATAAGCCTTCTGTTTTAGATTGCAAAACTGAAACAACCCCAAACACCTATTTTCATGTTCACAAGTTACTAGCGATATCTCAGTGGAGGATCCCTTAACTGATAAGGATTAATGAATGAAAAGTATATTTACTCAGGGGCTATTCCAGATTGTTTTAACAACCAGTTTAATCAGTTTAGCTGTAGACAACAGCTTGTGAAACTGTTCTTGCACACAGGATATTTTAGCTAACTTCCATTAACTGTTACTGGTCAGGAAGCCTCCTTGTTCTGAGATCAGTTAAAGAATGATGAAGCAATAATTTTCCAAAGTTGGATCCAGTCATCTGTCCTGGACTTAGTAATGTGTTTCAAGTTAGTTTTTTAAAACATGATTAATTAGTTTCTGTCACATACCAGTCTTTCCAGCTGGTAGACAAAGGGGAGAAGGCAAAAATGTCCCTGCCTATCCCAAAGCTTCCTTTGCTGTTGCTGTCTCCCTCCACCACTGCTACCAGACTCCACTGCAGTAAGAAAGAACAGGCAACTGTGTATAGCACAACGGTAAAAAAAACAGTGTTAACTGCATCATAACAACATATATAAAGTAGCAATTGCCAGCAAGAAGGTTGATTACATTCCACAGGTAAACAAAAAGGTTTTCACCTTGCACTAAAATGAAGCCAATGTGAGGACAAAGAAATGTTGCAGCTGCTGCAGTATATGTGGCAAAAAAATGAGGCACAGCTGTATTACTGAACTGGAAGCATATTTAATTGTTGTAAAGTTTCTCATGGGTAATGGAAATCGCCCCATGCTTAAATAAAATAATAAATGCAATTGCAGTTTCTCTTTTGAACGTTGGCTTAAGCTCTTGAGTATGTATTTTAAAACATAAATGGAAAAAATATTGCTACCAGCTGTTAAGGCTTCCTCAATTGCATACATAAAGTAAGTAAGCTCTCGTTACGTGAATCATTCTAAGGTTCTCAAATTTAATAAAGTATAGAAATTAAGTATAAAGGGTGAAATGATTAGTCATGGTAATTCTATTCTTCTAGGCTCCCCGTGCAAAAATGAACCAGCAAAGATCTAGAAGATTTAGAGCATCAAAGGAAGGAGTGGAGACTGCAGAAGAGAAGCAGAGAATCAGACAAGAAATTTTAGAGAAAGGTATATAGATTTGTTACCTATTCAGTTTAGTTCAGTAACAGGTAACTTGAAGAAGAGTTGCATCTTCTGAAGTATTACTCTTGCGACAGGCTCCATATCACAGATATCACATGACTGGCCTAGAGAGAAGACTGACATGCACTTAGTTTTGTATTAAATTTTGCATTAGCAGTTGTTTGTGTTCTGTGATTTCTTGGGAGTGTAGGAAAGCTGTGTAATATGGAATTGAGCGCAGAATTCAGGTTCCTAAAATCTAAGCATATTTAAAACCACATTTCTAACCCTTATTTTTACCATTTATTAAATTTCTATACCACCCTTCATCTGAGGGTCAGTGGGAGATTTACAATAGTTGTACAGATGTGCATGAAATTGTATTAGCAATGCATTGTAAAAATTGAAGAGTTGCTGAATTAAAATTAGTAGAGAATAGAGCTACAATGGTCTGCATCACCTTGTAACTAGAAGGAGCTTAATAAAGTATGCAAAACAAAAAGTCAAGCAAATTTGCATGATTTTGTTATTGATCACTCATAATTTATACTTATAACAATACAAATGCATCCCTATGCAAACTGATCGGAAAGCTCCACTAAGAGCCATGGGACTTGTGCCTGAGTTTATATATATGTATAAAATTGTGGTTTTGATCACAACTAGTTGTGATTCCCATAACTGAGTGAAATGAGATATTACATGTTCAAAATAACAGAGGGAGTATGTCTGTCCCCCTCCCTCCTGCAGTTATCTGTCTCAAACTAGTTAAATTATGTTGCTTTTAAAGGTGGCTATCTTCCTCCAGAAGAAATAAAAGAAAGATTTGATAGCAATTGCATTACTCCAGTAAGTATTCTTCTAATTCTAATTTGGGAGTTGTCACAGTACTGATCATGGTATTGTTGCGTGATTCTTGGCTAATCTCTGACTGGCTGTAGGTTTCTTCCCTCCTCCTATCTTCAGAATAGCTGTGTGAGGATAGACTAGGATCCAACAGCTTTTCTCTAGGCAACAATGCTGTTTGATGGCATTCACAGAGGAAGAATATTCTTCTCTTTGGCCTCTCCTGCTGCACTGTAAGAACGGTGAGGAGAAACTGAAAGGCAGCAGCAAAGATGGGGTGCTTTTTCAAATTCATGGTTTTTTTCCATGTGGAAAAATCTAAATTTGTTGGCGTATTAAGAATTGCCCTGCCAATGTCAGCACAGGTTTGGGGAGCTGTGGCATACAGGGAGTTTCGGCAGTTCTATAGGGTAATCTGTTGTTAATACCGTAGGTCAAAGAGGGCGCCTACACCATGTTTTGGCATTTGCCTAACAAGCAAGCTGTAGAGATGGAGGCACGGACATGCATGCAAGATTTGCCTTGAAATGGTTTGGTATTTGAAGAGGTTTTTTAAATGTGTTCAACTGACCAAACTTAAACTCTCCTGTAAGTGGGAACCTTCTTTTACCAGATAGCTTTTTCTAAGTGCATTCTGTCAAACATGCTTAAGAATCTTCTTCAAGCCTTTGTGCTAGTTGTACAGAACTTTGCATTACAGTTCCTATGTTCCGTTAGGTGCTGGAACATGACTTTAGGCTTATTTGGATTTCTAGCCAGAAATTTCCCATACAAAAAACCTTGGGCTACAACAGAGTTATCTCTTCCAGCCCTAATCCAGTGTTTGGTTTCATGCAGAAACCTTGTGTGAAGGTGTGTTCAGCACAGAAATCCTCATAGGCTTAAGAAAAATAAACCTTTTTTCACTAAGCAAGACCTGAGTGATGAAGAGCTCATTATGTGATGGATTTGGTTGTAAGGGTTTCAAGTTTGGTTTCCTAGTAAACTTCAAACATAAAATGTTGACCTAATCATTAGCCAAGTTGTATGTTTCTGAACCTCTTTGCTTCCTAGTGGAAAAAATGTAAAATATAAATGAGGCATGGGGAATTTCCTGTTGAGGAGAGTGTTCTCCGCGCCGCAGTGCTTCATCTCTCAAGGGCTGTCTGCAGTGGGCAGGACCAGAGCCAGTATAAATATAAAAGTGGGGGTTTCCTCTTTTCTATTTCTGACACATTTTTTCTCTCCCTTCCTCTACATTCAGAGGGCTTCTGGGGACAGTTTTATCTTGCCAAGGGGTTTGAACTGGTGACCAGGAGGTTCCCCACATATATAAATGCAGATGCAGATTGTAGTTGTGTAATAATAATATTTTTTTTTAAAAAATAAAATACTGTGTTGTAAATTTTGTGGCTGTGCTTGAGGTTAATTACTTAGTCTTGAAATTCTATGCCTGTAAAATTGTAGTACAGTGGTACCTTGGATGTCGAACTTAATCCGTTCTGGGAGTCCGTTCAACTCCCAGAACCATTTGAAAGCCAAGGTGTGACTTCCGGTTGGCTGTAGGAGCTTTCTACACTCAATTGGAAGCTGCGTCGGACGTTTGGCTTCTGAAAAATGTTCCCAAACTGGAACACTCACTTCCGGGTTTGTGGCGTTCAGGAGCCAAGCCGTTTGACAACCAAGGTACCACTGTACTAATTGGAAGACTATGACTAGGCATTGGTATGCCTCCCCTGATGCATTTTAGGGCTTGAGCTGTGTTAATGCAGCTGTGGATTTATACTTGCTTAGGCATAGCACTCTCTATGGTTCAAGGAGTGTAGTAATTGGGGGCAACTGGCTCTGCCCCCAAGCTTTCATTTTGCTTCATTTGCTTGCCCCTTCAACTGTTGGACTTTTGTGCTCTGCTTTTTTATTTTTTTAAAAATAAGATGGCTCACATCTGCAATCTGCCCATCACAATCTAAATTTTGTATTATATTTCCCTGTTCTTTAGGGGACTGAGTTTATGGACAATCTTGCTAAATGCCTTCGCTATTATATTGCTGATCGTTTAAACAATGATCCAGGATGGAAAAACTTGGCAGTAAGTTTCATACCCGTATTGTTCAATAAGTGGAACTTGTACTATTCTTGACTGATGCAAATGAGTTCCAGAAGATAGTTGTTTTAATTGAAGAAGATAAACCAACAGTTTAACATCCAGGTATAGTTTAGGAGTTCCCAAGGTGTTTAGCTGTTTTATCTCAGATGTGGAAATTTTGAAAACCTATCATTAGATCAGATCCATAGTTACTTTTGGAGTGTGTGAGCCCAGTGGCATTTTGACCCCACTTTTACCATATCAACTTTGAAACACACTTGGCTTAAAAATCAGCTTTTCATGTGTGGTGTGGCAAGGCAAGATGCGGGGGTGGGGGGCATGTGCCCGAATACGCCTGTGTGTTGTAAGAGGGTCTGGTGTGCCTTGAAAAATTCACTACTAATAACTTAAGAGCCTGACTGGACCAGGCCAAAGCTCTGTCTAGTTCTCTCCGTGGCTAGCAGACTCCTATGGGAATCCTGCAAGCAGGACCTGAGCACAGCAGCACTCTCCCCACATGCAAGCCCCAGCTACTGCTATTCAGAGGCATAGAGTCTCCAGCCATGGAGGTCGTGTATAGTCCTCATGGCTAGTAGACAAATTCATGGAGGAAAAGGCTAATAGCCTCTTAAAGCCATCCAAGTTAGTGACCTTCACTACATCTTGTGGAGCGAACTCCATAGTTGAACTTTTGGATGTTTGTATGTGATGCCAATAAAAGGTTTGATGATTATGATGATAGTGGAACTGTGTGCTATGTGAAGAGGCCCTCTATTGCCTTGAAGCGGGAAGGTTCCATGTGCTGGTGCCTCCGCCGCTCATACAGCCTGCTGTGTAGCTGATAGGCATGGTAGGATCACCTGGAAAGGCTTTCTGCCTGGGAAAAATGGGGAAGCAGGAGGCATTATTATCCAGACCATCTCATAGTTGTAAGGAGGATGTGTGAATGTTGTTTTGAGGAGTGATGTGTAACTTTGTGCATGCGTGCAATGCGCTTCCAGTTTTGATTTATTTTTTAAAATGTCCTAGGTCTTCAGGAACACTGTGCCAAATAACACAAATTAGTAGTAATTTTAATGGTGTTGCAAAGTATTGAGTGTTTCGCTCTACTTTTTATGTTTCCTCTTTGTGGTGATGTTTGTAGGTTATTTTATCTGATGCTAGTGCTCCTGGTGAAGGTGAACACAAAATCATGGATTACATACGAAGGCAAAGAGGTATTTTTTGCGGTTTCTACAGTAAAAGTTGTATCTACTGATATTAGTAAAAGTGGGCTGTTCAATGTGAATAGATCTACTTTTTCTGAATATTTTTATGCAAAAGTGCATAAGCAAAACAGATGTGAAAAAAGGTGTTTAGAACAGTAAAGAGAGGTGTGTTTTTTTTTTTTGATGAATCATAAATACTATAGTGGTTTTAGAACATTAGATACAGTACAGTATTAGAATTAAAAACATAGAGCACCTTGGAATGAAATATTGACCTTTAAAATGGGAGGGAAGGAAGGAGAGAGTGAGGAAGTCTGGCAAAGACAACACCAGGGCCTGCTCCAGTTGGGCTTTGGGCTTAATCTTCATGAATTTGGAATCTGATTAAATGGCAAACAATCATTAAATATCTTGGCAGCTACAGGTATTCATATTATCTTGTGAACCACTCTGAGATCTTTTGATAAAGGGCGGTACAGTCGTACCTTGGTTCTTGAAGAGAATGCATTCTGGGAGTCCCTTTGACTCCTGGAACCATTCGAAAACCAAGGTGTGGCTTCTGATTGGCTGCAGGAGCATCCTGCAGCCAATTGGAAGCCGTACCGAATGTTTGGCTTCCAAAAATCATTTGAAAACCAGAACAGTCACTTCTCGGTTTCAATTGTTTGGGACCAAGGCGTTTGAGATCCAAGGTGCGACTATATAAATCTAAATAAATAGTATTCTGGTGAAAATGCCACTAGGTCTGCCAGTTTTATCAACTTTCTACTTCTGTATTGCCTTTCTGACCTCTTGACTGTCTATTGTGCTTTTGCAATTTATTTATTTATTTATTTATTTTATACACTACCCTTTCCTACCAAAAGAGCCAAGGGCAGCATATGTAATTTTATTCAACCTTAGAGGTCAGCAATAAGTCTTCAGTAATTATTTCCTTCTGCCTAAGAATAATAAAATGTATTTAACATTTCTTTCTTTTTTGCTTTAGCTCAACCGAATCATGATCCAAACACGCACCACTGTTTGTGTGGTGCTGATGGTAAGTCCATTTCTTAGTTTTCTTCCATTAGTAATTATTCTAGCAGTTAAGTAGAGAATGATTTGTATGGGTCAGTACTGTGTATACTGAGTAAATCACATTTGTAAAACGTGGTAATGCCATCTTGGGGTCTACAGTTATATTTTGGAGGTTACTAAGGTTGTTAAAAAACTTATGTCTACATAATTAACATATTTGTGATTGCTTAGAGCTTTTATTTACAATTAGTTGGTTGGCATCTGTCTGTTTTGGAAGACAATGGAGGAGTACACCTTTGGGTGTGAAGTCAAACTGTTGGAAGGTTACAGCGTCTGCTGTGGCTCTAGAGACCAGCACAGGAGAGACATGTTTTATTGCATCTGGGGCAGAGGAAACCATCCAGTTGTGCTGCCGCCGATGCACCAAGACATTTCTTCTGTCTGCGCTCCTCCCAGCAATCATTTCTCCTCTGGGCACTGGTGTAGATGCACGACCTGACTCTGTTTTCAGGTCCTGCGGTCATCTGTTACGGATTCTCACATGATGTGGTTGATATTGCCAGCCTTCATAGCATGTTTGCAAGCATCATTGTAGCGCATGGTTTGCCAATGGGTCTGGTGCCTGAATTTACAGTTAAGCAGTATACATATTCTGTTATGAAAAATAATAATGTTATACTGCTAATTGACATACTTTGTTTTGTTTGAAGGATCATCTGCATTGGCCATTATTGTAGTTATTTACTTAGTATTTGATTTTTGCTTTATTTCTTTTATAGCTGACCTAATTATGTTGGGATTGGCTACACATGAACCAAACTTTACTATAATTAGAGAAGAATTTAAGCCTAATAAACCAAAGCCATGTGCTCTTTGCAACCAGTTTGGACATGAAGTTAAGGACTGTCAGGGTCTGCCAAAAGAAAAACAAGGGGAGGTAGGTTGAACAGTTTGCTCACTTTCTCAAGAGCCAGCGCGTTATGCAAGAGAATGAAATGATAGGTTTGAATGAAGGAGATTCCTGTTCAGATCCTTCCTTAGCCATGAAGTCATTGTGTGGCTTTGAGTAATCTCTGTCTCTCAGACTAACATTGCAGGTTGGCAACAAGGACATACCGAAACCCATTCTCAATTATTTGTAAAGGAAGGAACACAAAGCAGGATTCATTTCCTTGAAATAAATGTGGTCTAACAAATTATGGGACTTGTGGGGAGGGGCAAATCAATTCAGCAGAAATGCCAAAGTGCATTTAAATATTGTGCAGCAAAATGGGAATGGGGTGACAGATTAGAGTCAGCTCTGCAAGTTTAGACTTCATCCCCTTGATTTCAGAAACAGTCCCATATACTCTTACCTGAGAATAAGGCATGCACAGGAATTTTCTGTAATCTTAATTTATTATTGAAGTGGCATTCTGAAACACACCTTTCTAGAGCAAAGAACTTAGTGAATTTAGCAGGACTTAGTTCTGAATAAACATGCTTAGGCCTGTGCTGTGGGAGAAGGTACTCTAAAGTAAAGCTTACATACAAATAGTATACTATTTTTCTCTTTTGTAGCACGATCAATTTGCAGATTGTCCTCCTGGTTCGGAACAAGAATTTATCTTTATTCGCTTATGTGTTTTGAGAGAAGTAAGTAATATTTGGATGTGTTTGAACTAAGGCTGTAATCCTATGCAGTGGGTCTCTGGACCTGTTAAATACATCAGGACTAACTTCCAAGCCAATGTGCACAAGTTGCCATGGCAACCAAAAAATTAATTCTGGCAATCGGCCAGGAGAAGCCATGTGTCTTGCCCTTTGTTTTTTGTTAGCTACCAGCATTTTCCCTGTTCAGCAGCAAAAGGTGGTTTCAGGACATGCTGCTGCTGAATTGTCTTACATTTAATCCTGCCCTGCCTGCTCTTCTCTCATTCCTCCGACTAGGTTGGCATTTTGAAACATTACTTCTATTAGTCAGCTTTGTTCAGCTACCATACAAGGGTTTTGTGTCTTGCTTCTCCAGAGAGTCTTGTCTGCAAGGTCTTTCGCTCTCTTCTTCGCAGTTGGCATCTCTCTTTCACGCACCCCACTTTCCATCTCAGAAAGGAGGGGGGAACTGCAGAAGTTTCACAAGGGCTCCCCACATTTTGTTCTTCAGAGGCTGATAAAGGAACAAAAAAGATGAACTGGTTGTGATGTAAGCTGCAGCAAAGGAAAAAACAAAAATCTGGAGTAGACTTTTTTGTGGCATGGAAAGATCATGTTCCTAGCCTTTTTAGCCATGACAAACAACTTAGAGGGAAGGAGAAAATTTTAATTTTGCCAAGCTGCTGGAGGTGAATTTGGAAAAAATAGGACTGGGGGTTTTGGAGGATGAAATTGTTGGGGGAGGACATTATTTAATTTCAAGGAAGAGTTATGCAGGAATTCCAGTTTGTGGGGAAAGAGTGTCTTTGCTAGATTCTCACCTTAATTCTGTGAGAGAGACAGATTGCGCTTGCTTGATGGAAATGGCTACTTACCTGAATCTGTAATGGATGAAAAGAGATAAGCATTTTCCATATGCTCTGATAGCTTAGCCATGGTGGTCTAGGCACTGGTAACCTCAAGCTGTATTACTGCAAGGCATTTTTTGTGAGTCCAAGATTAAGGCTGGTTTGGAAGCTGCAGCTGCTGCAGAATGCTGGTTATTTACAGCAATTGACATCACTTTTGAAGAACTTGCACTGGCTTCCAATATGCTACTGGGCCACATTTAAGGTGCCCTAAGCAATTTCAAACCAGCCTACCTGAAGGGTCACCTTTCTCCTTATATTCTGCATATTCTTTGAGATGGTGGGTGTTATTGTTTTGTCTGTTATTAGAGTTTGTATTTTGTATTTTTATACTGTAAACTGCCCTGTGATCCTTGGATCGAGGGTGGTACAAAAATTTAATAAATAAAATATGCTTAAGTCACTTTAGACATCCATTTGGAACGGAAGTGGGACATTTAGCATAGCAGTACCTTTATTGTGGACTTGATGGCCTGTCAAGGCAGGTTTTTGTGCCCCACTTTGAGAATTCCCTCGATTTAGTGGTATAGAACTTTATGTATAAGTAACTGCACACTAACATTTTATTTCTAGTAGCATCTGTAGAAATGTGTTCCATTTATCTCTCTCTCTCTCAAATAATTCTAGTATTTGGAAAGAGAGCTAACGATGGCCAGTTTGCCTTTCACTTTTGATGTTGAAAGAAGTATCGATGACTGGGTTTTCATGTGTTTCTTTGTGGGAAATGACTTTCTTCCTCATTTACCTTCGTTAGAGATCAGGTATGGAAAGCAGCATTATATGCAAAGTTACTTGATGTGGTGAAAGGTTGTACAATGAATGTTACAAGAACGTGTTTAGGTATCCAAAAGACTTTGGGCTCTTTCTGTGCAATTTCCTCCTATTTTTCAGAACCAATAGCATACCATAACCTTGTTTTGAAAGTTCCTTCAGTTTCAAAAATGGTTTGCTATGTGGCATAGAGTGGGGCTGATATTTGAAAAGCAAAAGCCTAAAGCCCTCTTTGGTGTACAACATTTATCTTTTAGATTTAAGGCAACCCTTACCACAAACTGAATATATGTGCTGTCTCTGTTTTCCTTAAAAACAAAACAAAACTGTTTTTATTTATTTTCATGGTAGAGAAGAAAATTTTTGAGAAAACAATTGTTACAATAGTAAACAACAAATTACAAACTTTTATCATGCCATGTGTTAAAGTTTCATTTGATTCCTCTAGAGTTCACACCATGTTTTCCCATGAGTGCTGGGTAGATTCCTGCCAGCCTGAACGATTTATGTATTCAGTAAACATTTGCCATACATTATAAAAGGAATATGGATTGTGTTTGCCCTCTACCGCTCTCACCTGGCATGTCAGTTTCTCAGCCAATTCTATTGACCATACTCTGTTATACCAAGATTTGTAACAATAAAACTTGGTGGTTATGTAGCAATTCTGAGTCTTCAAGATGTGTCAAGTAACAGTGTTGCCTTGTTCTAGGAACCTTACGCAACTCTTCTCAACCTTGGGTTCCCAGATGTTGTTGGACTACAACTCCCACCATCCTCAGCTGGCCAAGGGTGATGGGAGTTGTAGTCCGGAAACGTCTGGAGATTGGAGGTTCCTGCCAATAGGAGCAGAGCAAGAATGGTTTTAGACAAGGGAACGCTGAGATTCCTGTATTGCAGGGGGTTGGACTAGATGACCATGAGGGTCACTTCCACCTCTACAATTCTGTGGTTCTGTAATAGGGCATTAGCTGTTCCAAACTTATTAACCACAGTTGGTTATCAAGTGTGTGTGATTTGAGGCTTTTAAAATGCATGACTTCATATAAATAATTACTGTATTTTTCTGTGTATAAGACTAGGGTTTTCCCCTAAAATAATAATGTTAAAAATTAGGGGGCGTCTTATACTCTGGACCATCCCCCCCCATATTCTTAAATCTGAGTCCCCCAAAATAGGGGCGTCTTATACATGGGGGCATCTTATAGACAGAAAAATACGGTACTTTGTATTGTTTATATTTATCCTGCACATTACATTGAGGCTTCTTGAACGTCTGACTCCTCTGTGCCATGGACTGGGCCTGGGCTCATTCACTCCCAGTTTAGTAGCAAGCTTGCCCTGTCATGTGTGCAGGTGGTTGTTGGTGTTTTGCCTTTATAGTACAGGTGATTCAGAAGTGCTTTATCCTAAGTTGAGTTTAGAGGTTTTTTCCAGACCCCTGCCTTTTCTAGTTTCCCATAAGATAATTATAACAACTCTAATGAGTTAGGTCGCTGCCCAGTTAAAACCTGTTTTCAAGTGAACTTGTGCTGCTTGCCCCAGAGAGTAAGGGTGGGGTTCTCTCTGTCACTGAAGGAAAGCATTCATGGGTTTTCCTTGTTTCCAGTGATATTCGTTATGGGAAGGAATGACAGCAGGCACTCTGTGAGATCAGCACTGGTTCACAGATTAGTAACTAAATGCTGGTTCAGACTGTGTGTGTACAACATCCTGTAAAATGGCTAAATGAATTCATTATATTTGTTTCACAGGGAAGGAGCAATTGATCGTCTAGTGAACATATATAAAAATGTTGTGCACAAAACTGGGGTAAGCCATCTCACCCACCCACTCCAATTTAATCTCGTGGAACTTTAGGAGAAGGAAAGATCGTTACAGTTCTGTTTTACAATTTACAGGGATACCTTACAGAAAATGGCTATGTCAACTTGCAAAGAGTGCAAATGATCATGTTATCTGTTGGAGAAGTTGAAGATAATATTTTTAAGAAGCGAAAAGATGATGAGGTAAAAGAGTTCCTGTGACATATTTATTGTGTATCTGTGTTTTATAGAGAATAGTTTAATTTAATTACATTATTGAAAACAGTGAGTGTGGTTTATTATTATCTTCGTGGTACTCTAGTATGCAATAAATTAAAAAATCATGTTTTAACCAGAGACATTAAAGGATAGTTTGCCTCTGTAAGCTGTCAATGAATGTGTGTTGTATCTGGGGTTTATTTGATGTTTTGAATGGCTGGTGTAATGTTTTTAAGTCAGTTCTGTGAGGAAAGGAAAAGAAACAGGAGCCGTGTTGGCCCATGAGAGAGAGAGACAGAGAGAGACACAGAGAGTGTAAGGACAGCAAAACAAACAATAACTTCATTAGGACCGACAAAAATAATAAATAAGTATGCAAACCTTTGAGTTGAACAGAATACTTCTTTCACTTGAATGTGAGGGGGGAATGCAAAAACAGAAGAAGATTGTTGCTGGGCAGGGTGTTGCATAAGACATTCTTGGACAAAGAAGCAATGGGAAGCTGTCTTACAGCAGACCTCAACTTCAGCTTCCATTATGCTGAGCAACATTTTCCCATTCCCTCCACACCTTTTGATTTTTGCTCAGCGTCCAGTCTGTAGAAGACCTAGTAAACATGAAAGCTTGCATGTTGCTTTGTGATTGACGGTGATATGTTGGGTGTGGAGTGTCTATGTGTGTTATGTGGTAGGAAAGCACCTGGAGATTTAAATAAACAAATGGATACTCCTAAACATTTTTATGAGTATTTTAGTTGGATTCCAGTTTTGTTTAGAACAACAGCATTTTTTGTAGCAGGAAGTAGGGAGTTCTGCATATGACAAGTATGAATAATTGTTTGAGCATTTCCCCCCCCCCCCCCAAGAAATGACCCTAATAAATATTTCTGATGTTTTTGGTTTTTTCCATGTAATTTGTATGGTACACAGTTCTAATATCTTCATTCTTCATTTTAGGAAAATTTCAGAAGAAGGCAGAAGGATAAAAGAAAAAGGATGAAAGTAAATATAGAGCTTCTAGCCCTGTTGTTTTTCCTTGCAACATCCTGATTTAAGACAAATATATCAGTTTGGGTAAAAACAGCCTTAATATGGTTATTTGTTTATGTACGCCAACTTCTTGACCATTTTGAGTTAAAATGTAGGCTCAAAATAAATAAATAATGTTGCAGCTTTTTGCAATACCCATTCTATCCCAAATCACAAACTACCATTGAAGTTTCTCATGGACGCGTAACATGGGGGCCTTTGAGAAACGTGCTTAGTGCTTCATTAGGCTCATGGAACTAGCTGAACAATTATTTATATCTCAGCTATAGCAAATGATCCAGACTCCAAATAACATCTATGTGCATGCCCAAGAACTCATCTGCCCCCATTAGATCTTTGACTTTTTTCCCTATCTTAGTACAAAATCTCACACACTGCGTCTGGACCTACTTTCAGTTAGGAAAGTGTCTTGCTGAGCAGCATGGAATGCTGCTTGGGTACATAAACCCCTTAGCTATAGGTTCCTTAGATGCTAGACTAAATTCAAGGCATACAGAACAATCTTATGCCTGTTTTTCAGAAGTAAATCCCATTGAATTAAATGAGGCTTTCCATAGGATTGCAGTAATAAAGACTTCATATAAAAAAGATCATGTTTTTTCTTGTGCCATTTTTACACTTCCTCACCCTCCTCCCAAAACTTTTTCTGGTAACTTTTATACAACACTTGAAACACCATGTTTTCCACTGCTCCCAAGGCAGGGGGTGTTGATTGAACTCCTCTAAGTGTAGTCTTTACGGTAGATTTGTCTTCCCATCACTCTCATATCTCTGCTTTAATGCCACCAGCTTCCTCACATATGCCACTTGGATTAATAGCAGCTTATTCTAAGGCCAGGTCTCATATTTCATTTGAAACTTCTCAGAATTGTCTAGGAACACTGATGTTTGTAACTTAAATGTCTTCTTATGTACATAAAAATATAAGAATGTTGCCATGCTGAAGTTTGGTTGGCTTCTGACAGGTGGCATGATGAACTACGGCTTGACTGCCTTTCTCCTTTGCCCCTGGACTGGTGAAAGGGAAAGCCCAAATCTTTTGCCCCTTCATTTCCCACTCCCCTACATTTGCCACTGCTGGAAGGGAGGCAGAGCATGAAGGAGAGAAAGTGTTTCCACCCTTGCATCCTGCTGTGTTTCCTTCCTTCATCCTCCCCCATCCTCCCACCCTGCCTCAGGCTTCCCTCAGTGGCAAGGAGGTCTGAGGGAGGTTGGCAACCTATGGAGGGGGGACAGGATGTTGGGGTGAAGTGAGCAGGGGCGGCAGCCCCGTTTATGCTTAGGATTGTACTGTTACTCTCCTGGTTAGATTTGGAAATGCAGCCAGTGACAGATGGCTAGCACATGTTTAGATTTTGGTTCTAAGCTTATTTCATAGTTGTAACACTTGTTCTGTTCTTTACAACTGTTTTAGTAATGGAGATAACATAGTGACAAAACTGAAGCACTTTAACCAATCTACTAAAACAATCTAAATCCAAGTGGAAGCATTGGATAAAATGTATACTGCTACTTACTTATTTTATCAGTGGAACCCTAGGCTTTTGTGTACATAATTGCAGCCTCTGCTGAGTCTCAGCATTCAAGAAATATTTCATTCTTGCCTGGAAAATGATGATAAACATTTCTGCTAATGTATGTCTGCTCACCTAGAGGGAACAGCATTCTATGCCTGGTGGCCAGTTCACCCCACAACCTTTGGGGAGGGGAAATAGAGGAAGTCATCAACCAATCAATAATCCAAGACATGCAGCCTTTGAAATGAGAATGCAAGACAGACAGAGCACTGTAAGTGATTGATCTGAACTTTGTCACAAGCATAGAAGTAATGACTAAGTGAGTTTATAGACTTGTGGCTTACTAGTGGCTCAATTTTATTTCTGCAAGTGAATCTCTTTTAAGTACAACTTCAAGTTCTTTTAAATAGCTGTAGGTAAGCAACTGTCTTCTTGAACTTCACTATACATGTCACACCCTTATTTATTTATTTATTTATTTATTTATTTATTTATTTATTTGAAATATTTACAAAACATCAGAACAGTTATTAAAATAGCTGACTACTCAGAACATTGTAAGCATCTGAACAGGCCTGTTAGCACAAACAAATTTCAAGAGATTGCAGGGGGTTAGAATAAATGAACCTTGTGGTCCCTTCCAACTCTGCAATTTTATGATTGTATGAAAGTGAGGTGCCTGAGAATTCCAAAGAGAACACAATACTTCTGGTTTCTGTTTATTGTAGTTTTCTACTGTTAATATTTATTGTTTTTGGCACTCTGAAATATCATTTATTAACTCTTTCCCCACCATTCGTCCAAAAATCCCTCCTTTTTCCTACTCCCCATTTTCTAATTTTACCTTTGCTCCCTTGGTCCTAGAGGTTAAACCCAGGGTGAGACCAGGAATTGCCTTTGTCTCCTTACCATGTGCCTCTGTGCATATGTTTGTATGCAAACATTAGTTTTAAAATGTTTAAAATGTGTTGTTGTTTTTTAATTGTTTTGATGTTTGCTGTCCTGGGTTCCTTTGAGAGGAAGGACTGGGTAGAAATTTAATCAATCAGTCAAATTAATGAACTCTTGAGACATACACATACACACCCCAGTTTCATGTACAAAGAAGTTTGCTCCATATGTATGGAGCCAAGACTGGCATTTTCCAACACAAATTTCCACTGTTTACATGAAGTTAAAACAACATATATGCACTTTTAATGGTTTTAACTGATAGATGCACCTAAGAAAATTGTAACACATAAAGTAGTCTTCAGCTATGTTGAGCTGGGGGAGCAGGATCTCTAGTGGTATGTTTTCCTTCTTTTAAACACAGCGACTCTCCCTGCCTGCCATATTACAATCTGCTTTTGAACCGCACCCCCCCCCCCCCCGGTGGCTTTTTACGTGGAATGGAATGCTACTTGCTCAAAGCCACTTGGGTGCCTGGAACTAGCTTGCACACGATTCTTTTGGATCCCAGCTTCTGCACCTCAATAAAATAGATGGTTCTCTTTTTATTTCTTTATGACAAAGCCATTAATTTTATAAGTGTAATGAAACCTTTTTCCAACTATCTGCCTGACAACTGCATCCCCAGACTCCTTCAGCGTCTCCTAATACGAGTTTCACCTCTGATGGTTCACCATCCCCAGCAGGAGGAATTAAGCGGAAAGTAGAGGACAGTGACAGTGAACCTGAGCCTGAAGATAATATCAGGTGATACATTTGGTACTTTGTTAGTGAATTGTCAAAAGGGAAATCGCCTCATTAATACTGTTTACCCTTTATCTATAGCACCTTCTAATGCTTTTCCATGATCTTTTTATCCACCAATAATTAATGTGGAGGGTTGGGATACTCAGGAAATTCCAGTGAGATGTGTAGGCTATAGCTGTTAAATTTTAAGTGTCTCCATTAGTATGCATGAAGGTTTTCGTCCTAAAAGCTACTTCTCCCTTTGAGACTCAGCACCAGATTGGCTAGAGGTTCAATATTCAGCTCAGCCGCTGTGAGCAGAATGTCATTGTTTTACAGCATAAATGAAACTGTTTAACTCTTAAAGTTCTACAACCAAATCTCTTTACTTAAGGCTTTACTTCAGCTCCTTTGGGGAATTGGATTATTGCTAAAGGATATACTTTTTACTCTCAAAATTCCAGGCTAAAAACCCAGCAGCTCCAGTTTAAAAAGCCTCAAGCTGGAAGCCTCTGCCTGTCAGGGTAGACAATATTTGGCTAAGTTGACCAGTGATTTGATTCTGTATAAGACAGCCTCATGAGTTCATATATTCTTCCGTGTACTCTTAAATATGTCAGAAATTGTGGCATGGATCCAAAGTAGCACAGAGTCACGGCTGCTTGTATATGGGCACCTCTTACAGCAACTCCCCTCTAAAATGCTTTCCAAAAGCTGGGGGATTCTCCATTATAGCTTTTAATGGGGAGCCTGTAGTTTTTGGGAGGACTTATGTACTCTTTTGTGCTTGTTCACAGGGTGAGGGGGTTGGATTCAGAAAATGTATTTTAATATACATGCTTCACTGTTAGGTTAACTGCTCCCAAGAGAATAATAATAACAATAACAACAACAACAACAACAACAACAACAATAATAATAATAATAATAATAATAATAATAATAATAATTTATTATTTGTACCCCGCCCATCTGGCTGGGTTTCCCCAGCCACTCTGGGCGGCTTCCACAGAAACAAAAAATACACTAAAATCACACATTAAAAACTTCCCTGAACAGGGCTGCCTTAATATGTCTTCTGAATGTCAGGTAATTGTTGATCGCTTTGACATCTGATGGGAGGGCGTTCCACAGGGTGGGCGCCACTACCGAGAAGACCCTCTGCCTGGTTCCCTGTAGCTTTGCTTCTCGCAATGAGGGAACCGCCAGAAGGCCTTCGGCGCTGGACCTCAGTGTACGGGCAGAACGATGGGGGTGGAGACGCTCCTTCAGGTATACTGGGCCGAGGCCGTTTAGGGCTTTAAAGGTCAGCACCAATACTTTGAATTGTGCTCGGAAACGTACTGGGAGCCAATGTAGGTCTTTTAAGACTGGTGTTATGTGGTCTCGGCGGCCGCTCCCAGTCACCAGTCTAGCTGCCGCGTTCTGGATTAGTTGTAGTTTCCGGGTCACCTTCAAAGGTAGCCCCACGTAGAGCGCATTGCAGTAGTCCAAGCAGGAGATAACCAGAGCATGCACCACTCTGGCGAGACTGTCCGCAGGCAGGTAGGGTCTCAGCCTGCGTACCAGATGGAGCTGGTAAACAGCTGCCCTGGACACAGATTTGACCTGTGTCTCCATGGACAGCTGCGAGTCCAAAATGACTCCCAGGCTGCGCACCTGGTCCTTCAGGGGCACAGTTACCCCATTCAGGACCAGGGAATCCTCCACACCTGCCCGCCTCCTGTCCCCCAAGAACAGTACTTCTGTCTTGTCAGGATTCAACCTCAATCTGTTAGCCGCCATCCAACCTCAAACGGCCTCCAGGCACTCACTCCAGGATATTAGTTCCACAAGCAAAACTTGGAGCTCCTATTTCCTTCAAATAGCACACAGTTGTACTTCATGCTCACAACAAACTGTGTGGTAGCTTAGGCTGAGTGATGATGAGTTGTCCAAGCTCTCCACCTGCCACACAAATGTCATGGTCGAGCAAGGCCTGGTGACTGAGATCCAAAGAAGCTTTTTGGCACATGTCTCTATGTGTGTACAGAGACACATGCTGGGGAAGGAGTGGTTTCCCTTCCAGCTGAATCTGTTTCTTCTACCGTGTGCCAGAAGGACCTCTGTGAACCTCTATAAAAGCTTCTTGGATGAAGTGAAGGGGGCTGCAGAAGGAAGAGGGGCCCAAAAAGCCTCTCTTTGAATCCCAGTCTATGTGCACTCATATGTTTGGCTAACAGGAAGGGAATGGAGGAAAGAATGAGAAAGGTATCTATGTTACTTACCTCTTAAGAGTTTTCTGGGGTCAACAAAGGCATGTGATGCTGTTATACTACTTAATCTTGTATTAAAACGATTTTAAAAATTGAATTGTATGTTATTTCAAGTCATGTTATACAAAAAATAATAACAAAGCTTGAATTGTTGTACAGGTTATGGGAAGCTGGCTGGAAACAGCGCTACTACAAGAACAAATTTGATGTTGATGTCTCTGATAAAAATTTCCGTCGTAAAGTTGTCCAGTCTTATGTAGAAGGGCTTTGCTGGGTTCTCCGGTACTATTATCAGGTACTTACTATCTTCCATTAAAATTTATATAATTGCAAAAAACTTCATTTGCTTGTCTCCCAAATAATGTAATAAGACTCAGCAATGGCATAATTAGAGGTACATCTAGCATCATTGCTGGTATAGAATTGACAGAGGAGTATGCAAAGACCGGAGCAGGTTTTCATTGTAAATCTGGATATTTAGACACAGAGGAGACCCTGTGACATTTTCATTACTTGCTTGAAGCTGTCTTCATGAAATTGATTTTAATAGCCATCTTTTTTCTTTTCTTTTTTAAGTATTATAATGGTTTAATTCTGTTAGCTATATTGAGCTCTTTAAAGCTTAATAAAGCAAATCATGTTGTAGTGTTGTAATGATGTTTTACAGCAACTTTATTTTGGTAAAACCCTGATACCACGAATGATCAGTCGGTAGTGCAATTATTATGTTATCTTTCTACAGAAGCATATTGAAAAGTTTAAATTAAGATTTGGGGCAATTATAATGCACTGCTATTGTGTGTGTGTAATGGTCAGAAATGTTTCATTCAATTGGAGTCTGAAGAAATGTTTAACAATAGATAATGAAGGATAGTTATTATAAAGATAAATAAAACAGGTCTGTTGTGCAGATTCAGAAACTTCTGGATTAGTTAAAGCCAGTAGACATTAACCACATTTAAATAAGATGCCCTCACACCCTGGCCTTCTCTCTTTGCCATAGGGTTATGTTGAGGTAGTAGATTTGGTTTAGATCCAGGCATGTGTTTTGGAAGTTATTGGTGTTTGCTTTGAATTAGCACTTAGTGTTACTTTTGTCTGAATGATTTCTCAAATCACATCTCATGCCATTGTTTTTTGTAACTTCAAACTTCCTTAATATAAAAGGAACATGTTCTATGATTTCATGGGGACGTCACTTTAAACCATGATTTAACGCAGTATAAATGAGCTGAACCTCTCCTGAGGTTTATGTGCTCCTGCTTCCCTGCACAACCTTGCCTCTTGCTTGGTGTGGGAGACATCCACTGTGGGTTGTGCCTTTTCCAGCCACCCAGAAAGCAAGGATGTGGTCTAGATTTTCTCTCCCTTTATCCTTTCTCCTGCTGGTGGCTCCTCAGTTCATTTCTACTCTTTCCAGCATAGAAGTTGTGTTCCTCTCCCCATTATTCTTAGCTCAGGCCTCTGTTTTTGGTATGCATCTCCTCTTCTTAAAAAATGTTCCTGCCTTCCTTCTCCTTCTTCTTCTTCTTCTTCTTCTTCTTCTTCTTCTTCTTCTTCTTCTTCTTCTTCTTCAGCTTATTACAGCTATCTCTCTGTAGTGCTTTTGATTCCACAATAAATAAATAAAGCCTTTTTGCCTCTGTTAGTTTTCTGTCTGGCCTTTGCCTTCTGCTCAACAATGGCTCCGACAACAAAACAGTCTTCTGGCAAACTAGCTGCAAAAAGTAAAAGTGCATTAGGATTGTTGGGAAGCAAACTTTTGTCAGCTATAATTGCAACAGTCAGTGAGTCAGGATTCTGTGAGCTTGAAAAGTCTGAACTGTTTACTGACTGAAGGATTCAGCAGAAATGCACTCAGCCTGGCTTTATCTAGAACCTATAAGCCAGCTGTTCTTGCTCTTTAGATGACTTCTACCTCTTCTATCTTTGCTAGTCTCCTTACTGTAGCTGGAGGATCTTATTCAAAACCAAAACCTGGACTGCAGTGTAATGCAGCAGCAAATAAAGCTAATGCTAATCTAGGCTTCATCAACAGAAGTCTGGTGTCCCAATCAAAGGAAGTCAGAGTCCTGCTCATTTAAACCCTGGTCAGACCAAACCAGTTCTGGGCACCGCAGGTTAAGACACTGCAGGTTATTGACAAGCTAGAATGTGCATAGAGGAGACTTTGGCTAAACATTAGGAAGAACTTCTGTATAGTAAGAGCTGTTCCACAGTGGAACAGACTCACATGAGAGATGATAGACTCTTCTTTGGAGGTTTTTAAGCAGAGGTTGAGTGGCCATCTGTCATGTATAATTTAGTTGAGATTTGTGCATTTCAGGTGGTTGGACTACATGACCCTCAAGGTCCCTTCAGACTCTACAATTCTATGTCATTGACCCAAGGCATGTGACAGGCCACATGCTGGATCTGGTTTTCTCAACTGGGCAGCAAAGCACTCTGTATATATATACAAAATGATGGCATCATATGCACGGTTGAAAGCAAGCTAGTTGAAGTCCCACAAACTAATTGCACAAAAAGCAAAGAGCTTAAAAGCTCCTTTTGCAGTGGGTTTTCCTGGTGCAGAAATAGCTTTTAAGCTCTCTGTCTTGCTTACAGGCTCAGGGAGGCTCTTGCAGGAACTCCGGCAGCCCTGTGAGAGCTTCCCAGAGCCTGGATAGCAAGGGTGGGTGTTGGCGCAAGGGTCTTTTGGGTATATGTCGTTTTGCCATTTCTGGAACATAATCCCCACACAAGATACAGTTGTGCTGCAGGCATCTAGATATAATTGTATAGCCATATGCTTCCTTGACACACTCCTGAAAAATGATAATTAGAATTTTGAATCTGTTGAGTTTAATTAATATGGTATCCATTATTAAAAGCAAATTTTGAGAAGCAATGCTTTTATAGAAACTAATGTTTTTGTTATGGAAAATGTTCTGCCCCATGCTGCTGACCGTTGGTGAATTGTATTATAGATGTTACAATCACTTGATTTCTTTTTCAGTGAGTAAGTTTGGTATGCCATCTTTGCAGTATATTACAAGAAGTTTTCAATATGTAAAGCGGTGGCAACTGAGTTAGTAGTAATGTAAACTGACATTGCCACTGGAAAAGAGATTTGTGGTCACTGTTTCATTTGTTGAATTGGTATATTGGTCCCATATCTTAAGTTGGTTTACCAAAAAAATATATTTTGGCAAATACGTATGTTGCTTTAGAAATTGATGTGAATTAGTCACCAGATGGCTTTCAGTCTTGCCTGTCTCCCTACAGAAGAGTTACTGGGTCTTCTAGCTGTGACTTGGTTTCTTCTTACATTTTGCAAACTAGGGGTGTGCCTCCTGGAAATGGTATTATCCATTCCATTATGCGCCATTTGCTTCAGATTTTGAAGGAATTGCAGACATGCCCTCAGACTTTGAAAAAGGAACCAAACCGGTAAGATTACTGTTCATCTTTATAATTATTTGGAAGTCACTAATATTGTTATGGGGGTGATCAAAGTAGTTATTGCTGTTGACTTTTGTTTTTGGCAGTTCAGACCTCTTGAACAACTTATGGGAGTCTTTCCTGCAGCTAGTGGTAACTTTCTCCCACCAACTTGGCGGAATCTTATGACTGATCCGGTAAGAATTTTGCTTTTGTTTATTCACCTTTTCATCTATTCAAAATTGAAATGTTTGTTTGGATATTCTATTAATAGCTTCAGTATCTGTCTGAATAATGTGCCTGTTTTACTCTGTTTACTGGAGACAGAAACTTGGAAAACCATACTGACTTGAGGTCAGGGTACACCTCTTCCAGTTGGAGCCCAATTTGTTCTTTGCTAGCTGTAGTGAACTGAGGAACAGTTAGAGCTAGGACAGTGTTTCTCAAACTGGGGCCTCCAGCTGTTGTACTGCAACTCCCATCATCCCTAACCACTGGTCCTGCCAGCCAGGGATGATGGGAGTTGTAGTCCAACAACCGCTGGGAGACCTAAGTTTGAGAAACACTGAGATAGGATGACCTCAAATGGCCCCTCCAGCTGTCCCAATTCTGGTCAAGCCACATTGTGGAGCATGTACCCAAGATAAGCAATGAGAACTACAACTGGCAAGAGAGATTAAGGCTACTGTCTGAAGTGTTAACATTTAGAAAATGTCCAGAACTTGCAGTTTGAAATTTCAAACTTTAGATGTGGTTATTGCACCAGAGCTTGAAAATTGTCAACAAAGTACTGTTCATTTTGACCTGTTCTTCATACAGTGGTACCTCAGGTTATGAACAGCCTAGCCAATGAACTTTTTGGGTTGCAACCACTTCAGACCCGGAAATGAGTGTTCCGGGTTGTGTGGTTGTTTGGGGGGGGATATATGAACATACTGCAGAGGTACACTTCCGTTTTGAGTGCAGCGGCAGCGGAGAAGGGGGTCATCACGACGTTTCCCGTAGCAGCAAGGGAGCGAAGCTGCGCGCCCGCCAGCCAGCTGGCTCTTGTCTTGGGAAACCGTGCGGCCTTTCCATGCACCTCCGTCTCCCTCCGCCTGGCCGGGCTGTGGGAGGAAGGCGCTCTGCTTGCACAACAGCGATGGCTGCTCCCCAGGAACCATGCAGAGGCGTGCTTGCAGCTGCCTTAGCCGTCCGCCCCGGTAGTCGGAGGGCAAGGAGGAGGCGAGTCCAGCTGGCCGGGCGGAGGGAAGTTGCACAGCGCTTACTCCCAGGTGCACAGAATGGTGGCCGTCTGGACTTGCTCCCTCCTCCCCCTCCGACTTACCGGGGCAGTCGGCCAAGGCAGCTGTGAGCACACCTCCACATAGTTCCCAGGGAACAGCCACCGCCATTGCATGAGCAGAGCGCCTTCCTCTCACAGCCCGGCCGGGCAGGGGAAATTTTATTTGCTGCCAAGCTGCTTGGGAGATGGAGGTGCATGGAAAGGTTTCCCAAGACAAGAGCCAGCTGGCTGGCAGGTGCGCAACTCCCCCCCACCCCATGCCGCGGCGGGAGCATTTCCCGCAGCAGCATGGGGGGGGGGATCTGTGTGGATCCCAGTTCAACTGCTGAGTGATTGATTGTGTGACTGTGGAAATGGATAAAAGCAAACAATGACTATCATTAGTACAGGTAAGAAAAATTTTTAATTTTCATTTTTATCATCTACAATACTGTTTTATTTATTTTATAGTACGGTATAGTACATTGATTATTGTTTTCATTTTATGGATCAATGGCCTTGTTAGATAGTAAAATTCATGTGAAATTGCTGTTTCAGGGGTTGCTTTTCATCGTCTGGAACGGATTAATCCGCTTTGAATTACTTTCTATGGGAAAGCACGGTTTGGTTTAAGAACGCTTTGGTTTAAGAACGGACTTCCAGAACGGATTAAGTTCGTAAACCAGGGTACCACTGTACTGAGTTTGAAAAGAAGAAAAGAAATAGCTTATATGTATTATTATTTTTAATTCAGAAAACTTGATAGACCACTTCATCAAAAAAGATGATGAGTCAGTGTGGTGTAGTGGTTAGAGTGTCAGACTGGGACCTGGGAGATCAGGGTTCAAATCCCCCATTCAGCCATGAAGCTCACTGGGTGACTTTGGATCCGTCACTGCCTCTCACCCTCACGGGGTTGTTGGGATTAAAGGAGGAAGGACTGTGTGGACCACCTTGCACTCCTTGGAGAAAAGGGGGGGATGTAAATGCAATAATAACTAAATAGGGTCTCTGAGCTTGTGCAAGATTAATCTAATTCCTCATCTGTTACTGTACAAATCTCTGAATCACTGTGATGATTTTGTTTTTTAAAAAACAGGAATCAAGTATAATTGATTTTTACCCCGAAGACTTTGCTATTGATTTGAATGGAAAGAAATATGCTTGGCAAGGTAATATTTAAGATCACAAAATTAATACTTGTTCATCCATATGTCTTTGGAGTCATTTGAACAAAACAAGAAAGAATTTATTCTGTAAGTCATGTTTGCAACCACTTGCCAAAATGATTTATGTGTCTGTTATCAGATAACATTATTTTGGCTTGAAATTAACCAAAATACAATTCATTATTCATGTAGCATATTTTGTTTTGGAGTATTTTAATTATTTGGCTGCTTTGAGTTACTTTTATAACAGAAAGCCAGATAGAAATACTTGAAAATAAATTTTGGGGTCTTGCATTCTTCAGTAATTTTATTAGGATTCTGAGAACCTTTATAACTTGGAATGTAGAACTTCAGTGTTCTGAAATAGCAAAAAACTAAAAGCTAATACCATAATGAACTGAAGAAAAGTTATATATTTTCATGTATACTTGACACAGTTCATTGGTACAGTCTAACCAAAGTTAATTTTAAATCTTCTAGTCTTCATTTTAAAGAGTGTTTATTGACTAGGTTGTGCTTTATACTTTTGCAGCATTTATTTCTGTTGACTAAAGAGAGTTGAAATGTGACTGTGCCCATAAGGAATATATACATGATTTCATGTATGCCTTGGAACGTAACCCCCCGCGTAAACAGGAGGTTGCCTGTACTATTAAGTCTCACTAATTTCAGTGAGAGAGCTAAACCATATGCTTAGCTTGGCTTGATTTGGTGAGCCACTGTAAGAACAGGATGTTGAACTAGGTAAGACTAGGGTCTGATCCATTAAGGATCTTTTTATGATTTGGGGACAATTTGGCTTGATCTTGCCAAAGTTTCTTCTACCCTTTTGTACTATTTTGTAACCTTATGTTTTGTACTATTAAAAAGAAAATATGAACTCTAATGAGTTGTTTTCTGTAGGAGTTGCACTGTTGCCTTTTGTTGACGAACGCCGTCTGAGAGCTGCTCTAGCAGAGGTGTATCCTGACCTCACCCCTGAAGAAAGTAAGAGTTGCAGGATTAAAGAATCTTTCTGAGTACCAAGGCTTTTGGCAGTGGTACTTTTGTGCAATGCTACTTTTTCCTACTATAAAACCCGCATCTGCCTTTCCACACCATAAACCAGTTTGCTTTTATTTTGATCTCAGGTGCCAAGAACTGTTACCATTCTCAGCCTTAGTGCTCAGCCTTAGTAACCTGTATAGAATGAACATGCAGCCTCTGCATTAGTCCTGATGTGTCACAGTTTAAGCTGAATCTCCCTTTTTGCAGTATTCTGACTCCTATTTTGACCAAATATGTCAAAATGCTCCACCCAAAGGCTAAGAAGGGTTGAACTATTGCTTTCTGCCTCTGTTATGATACGGACTGCTCTTCATCAAGGGCAAGACAACCAGAACCACATTCACATTGATTATAACTTCAAGAATTGTGCTTGAGCTTGCTTTTCCTTCCTCTCATTCTTCCTTCCTTGTGTTTCATGCCTTTTTAGAAGTCATCTAAAGGCAGCCCTGATTAGGGAAGCTTTTTAATGTTTTTATATCTGTTGGATGCTGCACAGAATAGCTGGGGCAACCCAGTCAGATGGGCAGGGTACAAATAATAAAATGATGATGTAGAAGAAGAACCCGAGGGGGGGGCATCCTTAGAACTGATTTTTCCTAAGTTACTCTGAGAGCCTTTTTGGTTAAAGGTTTTTTTTTTTCCATTCATTTATTATTATTTGCCCAAAGGCCTATGCAGTTGTTTAAATTTTTATTGAGTATTCCATCATTTTAATTACTGTTTTCTACAGCTTTACATTGGTTTGTACATTTACAGGTTTTTGCATTGCTGTGCCCCCTGTTTTATGAGAGGGCAGTATATAAATACTTTCAGAAAGACATCTGGTGCCAGACTCCTAGAGTTCCTGGCTTGATCCCCATGGTGCATGACACCTTGTAAGCAAATGGTTAAGTGTGTACCAAATGGACAGAAACTTCATTGTGGTCCCACACTAGTACACTGATAAAGCAATGGAAGGTTGTTCAGTTACATTAAGCACTAGTATAAGACAAATGGATGCTCTCCTCTCCCCCATTATTCAGAGTAAACTTGGATGCTCATCAAAGCAAACATCCCTGTACAATGTCAAATCAATGATAAATCAAGAGAGGACTTTTTTAGTTTATGGTGCCGGCAGTAAGCAACATGAGCCTGTTTTGTAAGTATTACTCCTTAATTAGGTTGCTCTTAATGAAGAATTATCACCCCCTTCTTTTTTCAGTCAGAAGAAATAGTCTTGGTGGTGATGTTCTCTTTGTTGGGAAACAGCATCTACTTCATGACTTCATTCTCGAACAGTACAAGTCTGGTGAAAAAGAGGTGCGTCAAATTTTTTCTAATGGATATTACATTTAATTCATTCTTGTCTGGCTCATCTGATCAGGATTTTATTATTCCCCAATAGGCAGTAGGCCTTCCCCCTGAACTGTGTCATGGTATTCAAGGAAAATTAGCCAGGAATGACAATCCAGTTCTTCCTGATGAGTAAGTATAACTTACAGCAGGGTTTATTTGCTGATTAAGAATCCCTCCTTGTTCAGTGTTCTTCAGACAAAATAAAATTAGTTTGTAGTTTATTTTCCTCCTTCACAATGAAGATCAAAAGCTGCTTAATGCATGCCACTAGCTTTCAGTTATTGAATAGACACGCATAGATGGGTCATGCCCCAATTGAAGATGGTTTGCTAAAGTTTTAAAAAGAAGGAGGGAGATCTGGTAGAGGAAATTGGCTAGAGTGAAGAATAAGAGAATAAAAGGCTAACAGAAAGTAGGTCCCATGTTGGAGGGATGGGATTAAAGGTGAGTCTGAAAACACTGAGAAGTGTTATGGACACCAAAGGGATGGTTAACATGAGCTGATGTAAGCATGGCAAAATTTAAAATGTTTTTAGTTTTGAAAATGGACAATCAATTTTGATTAATTTTTGCTGTATTGTATTCTATTAGTGCAGTATTGATTATTCAACTTTCTGTACTGTTTGATGACATATTACGTGTGGTCACTTTGAAATGTTAATATGCTGCCCTTCCCATTTCTTTACCATTTAGCTTGGATTAAAGCATATTGCCTTAGCTTCTTTTAGTTTTCCATTTCAAGCCTTGTTATTTGAGGTTTTTGTCTTAGAAATATTTAGCATGCAAAATACTTGTGCAGCTCTCTTGTCAAGAATTTGATCCCTTCAGTCAGTTAAATGTCATTTGGTATTAAGTGACCATTGCCTGCTTACATCAGATACATTTTCCATTTTTCTCTACAGCCAAGAGAGTTTTTCTTCTAAATGAATAGTTGTTCCATTTTTCCATATCCATTAGGACATTGCACTCTCCTGTGCCCATGCTGCGTGACCTGACACAGAATTCTGCAATAAGGTAAAATGTGTATGGATGAAGTTACCCAAATGACTTCCTCTAGGTCATGATGTGAAGTCCTCAGTAGCTGAGGTGTTCACCAGTTCCTGGTTAGCTTCTCCTCTTGAGACTAATGGGGTATATGAAAGGGAGAGGGAACCAAATTAATGAAGTTAGACGTTTCCTCATTTCTCAGGCTCTTGGTTATGTGGGCTTGAAGGCAACTAAGCTGCTAAATCTTGGAAAATACGAGCGCTTCCTTAGAATGATGGATCAAATATTTTTTATTCTAAACTGTATTCAGATTATGAATATAACTGCTGGTTTCCCTTTCCTTATTGCAGAGGGATCTACTGACTCCTCCCAGCTGTTATCTTAGCAATAGTGATGGTCTCTGTCTTAATTAACTCCTTTTTCTGAGTCATCCACATAGTGCATGAATAAATGCATCTGACTAGGGCTGAAAAAGAGAGAATTTTGCCTACACAAGTGTTGGGGGACCACATGATTGGCCTTATCAGATAGTGACCAGCCTTTCACAGACCACATTTGACAGGCCATTATGATGTCAGGTGGAATTGATCCTGCCCCCAAGATGTGCTGGTTGCACTTGGCACCAACTTTAAGCCTTCCTCAACCAGATGTTGTTGGACTCCAACTCTCATCAGCCCCAGTCAGTATGACTATTGGTCAGGGATGATGAGAATTTTAATCCAAAGCATCAGGAAGGGTGGGAACCAGGTTGTACACATAATTGCTCCTGTACAGCCCCAGTTTACAATTGGCACTGAATGCAAGTCATATAGGCAGAATCCAAGCTCTCAAGAGGACCCATCCTGCCTTAAAGCAGTGGATCTTGTATTCGGTGCCAGGTGTAAATGACTGGATGCAACTCTGGGTTGCAAAGGAACAATTCAGAGCGCCCTGTAAGTGGCTTCTCCTGTCCTGCCCATGACACCCTGTGATATGAGGTGAGTGACAAGTGGCTGTGGCCATTTCAAAACAGATCAAATCAAGAGGCCTGGTGAGCTCTTTTTTCATCTTTGGGCCTGAGTTGCTTTCTACTGATCCTTGCTGTATTCTGAAGAGAGAAAATAAGTTACCAACTTTAATGTCACATAACAGGCAATGTGTTAATTCTTCATAATTGTTTCAAATATTTTCATTCTTAGTATCAACTTTAAAGACCCACAGTTCCAAGAAGACTTTATTTTTAAGGCAGAGGTGTTATCTGGAGCAAAGTAAGTAACCCTTCTGTTTACCCTTACCAGTTCTTCTGAACCACTTGCAGCGCTGTAGAATGGGTGAGATTGATTTTGTGGGTGGTCCTATGTCTTGTTTCAGAGAATTGAACTTGATGGCCTTCAGGCCTTCCAACTCTGTGTCTCTAGTGCCTATTAGATTGAACTTCCTTGTCTTATTATTTAGAAAGCCTCCACCAGTTCTGAAGCCAGGTGACTGGGAGAAAACTAACAATGATGGCAGAGCTTGGAGGCCCCAGCTTGGCTTTAACCGCGACAGGAGGCAGGTTCACTTGGACCAGTCATCATTCAGAACTTTGGGGTAGGCAACTGATTTAACTACTGTTCATCTAATGTTCTTTGTTCATATAGATTTATGCACTCAATTTTAAGTGAGGAAGACATGGAACTGGAACTGAAACCACTCAATAAACCATCCCTGGTTTGGGCACAGAAACTGATTTGGTTTTCTTCATGATGACATCTGTCAGAAGAGAGTAAGGGAAAATGTGTCCCTGTTAATTCTCCTCAACCTCTCAACAGCTTTCAATACCATCAACCATGGTATTCTTCTGGAGTGGCTGTCTGAATTAAGGGTGGGTGGCACCACTTTGCGGTGGTTCCGATCCTACTTGGATGGTAGTTTCCAGAGGGTGATTCTTTGGCCCCGTGAAGCCTTCAGTGTGGGGTTCCACAGGGTTCAATTTTATCCCCTATTAGTGATGTGAGGTGAGAATATTCTCTGCTAGAAAATTCTCCGGAAAATATTCTCCACAAACTGTAAATTCTAATGTAAGAACCAGTTTTACAACCCACATTTTAAAAAATCTAGTAAATAATAAGCCAAGCTGTGATATTGCCAGTGTAAGTAATGAATAATGATTGTTTTTGATCCAGTTACATTACTGGGGATTGTGTTATTCACCATTGGCAGTTCTGAAATGTGAGCTACAGAAAACATTTTGGGGTTTTGGGGGGTTTTTTGTTTTAAAAATGCTATTCATTTAATTTGATGAACATTTGAATTCATATGTGTTTCAAACTATATGTAATAGCCTTTTTTCCTATTTTGGTTTGACCTTATTCTTAGCAGTTCTATACCCTTGGCCATACATTGTGATTTTTTTACAGAAAGTAGCTTTAATGCTTTATACACTTAAAGTACCTAGGCCTATACAATTATATGAGACAGCATATGAGGTGGCCTTGATTTAAACAGCTGACGTTTCTATATTTTTACTTAGTGCCGAAACTAGTTTTCTGCAGTCCTCTGATTGTCAGTTCCCCTTTACCAAATCAAAGAATGTGAATTCGCTGCATTGCCCCATTGAATAAAAGTATCTGTACGGTTTTTGGTTGCCATCTGAACAAGTTTACTCATGAATAAACATGTATATTAACTAATTATATCATTTTCAATGCATTAAAATGAATATTCTCCTATTTTAAATGAAAATTCTCTAATATTCTCATTAATCGAGAATATTCTGCAAACGATTATTCTTGAGAATTTAACATCTCTACCCACTATGCTATTTAACATTACTTGAAATTGCTGAGTGGGGTTATCCGGAGGTTTGGAATACGCTTTCAGCATTATGCTGATGACACACAGCTCTACTTCTCCTTTACATCTGCAAGTGGGGCAGTGGATGTGCTGGACTGCTGTCTTGTATCAGTTATGAACTGGCTGAGAGCCAACAAACTGAAGCTCAATGCAGATACGACTGAGGTCCTGTGAGTGGGCAGTTCCTCAGACCAGATGGCTGGGAGGTGGCCTGCTCTTGATGGGGTTACACTCCTCTGGATCCTTGGCTGTTGCTTGAGGCTCAGGTGGCATCTGGTGAAGTATGCCTTCCATCAGCTTTGGCTGGTGGCCCAGTTTCGCCCCTATCTGGACAGGGATAGCCCAACTACTGTTGTCTGTACTCTGGTAACCTCTAGGTTAGATTACTGCAGAGGGCTGCCTCTCAAGACAGTTTGTAAACCAAGCTGCTCACCAGGGCAAGATGGTTTGTACATATTACACTGACCCTTGGCCTGTCTGCACTGGCTATCAATTAGTTTCCAGGCCCAATTCAAAGTGCTAGTTTTGTTCTATAAAGCCTTAAACGGCTCAGGACCACAGTACCTCAAGGACCACCTTTCTCCATATGAAGTAATTTAACATTATTCTGAAATCATCATCTGAGGCCTTTCTTTGTGTGCCTCCTCCATGAGAGGTCTGGAGGGTGGCAACAGGCCTTCTCTGCAGTGGCTCCCTGTTTTGTGGAATGTTCTCCCCAGGGAAGTTTGCCTGACGCCTTCATTATACACCTTTAGGCACCAGGTGAAAACATTCCTTTTCAATCAGGCCTTTGGCTGATTAACATCTGATACCATTTTAAACATGTTTGTGGTGGAGAGAAGGGGGGTTATTGGTTTGTTATGTTCTTTTTGTTTCTATTGTGTATTTTGAATTTTTTACCTTGTATTTTTGTGTTGTGAACCCCTCTGAGATCTACAGATGAAGGGCAACATAAAATTTCATAAACAACAACAATAATAAATTGAACCAGGCATATATTAAGTGTTGAGTAGATTAAGGTTAAATGCAACATTCTTCTTATTTTAATTAGATTAAGGGAATTGCTAACAACAGCAATTAAATGTCTTGTTTCCGGATGGGGAAGTTCTGTGAACTTCTGAAAGACTGTTCATATTTGTATTATCTTGGAACAAATTGTGTCCTTCCATGTCAAGTGACTAGGGAACTTTTTAATGCCTGCTAAACTTTAGAACCACAGTGCCTGATGTCGGAGCATCCCAAAGCAATCCCTGATCTGCACCGTTAGGAGAAGCCAAGGGGAGGAAAAACCCCAGCTTTCTGAGGAATCTGGTTCAGTTGTTCAGTTGTGATCATAACTGAATAAATCACCTAAGAGACACCACTTTTTAAAATGTTACAATTCTGTTTTTCCATAAGTTGGGCCAGTGGAAGAGAGAGTGAGAACTGTTTCAGATGTTAATGCTACTGGGCCGTTGTTATGTGCGTTCTGCTTGACGGTGGTGAGCTCCCGTTGCTCTGTCCCAGCTTCTGCCAAGCACACCAGTGCAAGTAGAAAATTGGTACCGCTGCAGCAGGAAGATAAATGCCGTTTCCATGCACTATGGCTTCCATCACATTGTCCCGTTGCACCAGAAGCGGTTTAATCCTGCTGGCCACATGACCTAGAAAGCTATCTATGGACAAAGGCCGGCTCCCTTGGTCTGAAAGTGAGATGAGTGCCACACCCCATAGCCATCTTTGACTGAACTTCCTATCCAGGGGTCCTTTACCTTTTTTTACCTTCACCTAACAAATGCTCTTTCTGACTGTTTCTGGAGAAGAAAGAATTGAAGAAATCAGTCAGTGTATGTACAGATGCCCTGGGCACACAACTCTTGCTTTGTACAGCGGTGGATGTGCCTAACGTCGGCTGTGTATCCCGTCATTCATAGAAGATTTGCCGACCTATTAATGTCTCGCCTTGCCTAGAGTTGAAGGAATTTACCATTGTTCAGGTTTGGAATGTAACACTGTTGCCATGTGTGTAATGCCTTTTTCCATGGATACCTTCATTTCTCTTCCCTTCCGTATTACAGTCATGCAATGTCAAGAAACAGAGGACATTCTGGAAGTGGAGTTTACAGCAATATTGCTCCCCCTGGAGCTTACAATCAGGGAAATACTTACAGACCACTGCTGGGAAGACCACAACAGATTCCCAAATTGCTTTCAAGTAAGTTTTTTCCCCCTTTCTATTTTAATTTTTTAAAATGGAACTCAAGGTTCTATTTAATCATTTGGCCAGTTGGAAGCATATGATACTTGGTTTGCTATTGCCATCTAGTACTTATGTTTAAGTTAACCTTCCTGTTACTGAAACTTCACAGTCCTACATCATTGTTGCTGGGCCTTCACAATCGTACATCTTTTTATCATTGTTTGAACATGTCCTCACAGTACAAGTTGAGAACTGGTGTAGTGAGTGGCTAAGAGGATGATCCAGGAATTCCTCAGTACAGATTTTATAAGAAGAACAAACCCACTTGTAGCCTTAAGAATGACTCTCTCTCCCTTTCTCGGGCCCACCCCTCTGTAAAGCAAGGATGGTAGTCATACAAACCTACTTTAGAGTGCTGTTATGGGGTGTCTAAAGCATTATACAGTGGTACCTCGGGTTACAAACACCTCGGGTTACAGACACTTCGGGTTACAGACTCCGCTAACCTGGAAGTAGTACCTCGGGTTAAGAACTTTGCCCCAGGATGAGAACAGAAATCGCACAGCAGAGGGAAGCCCCATTAGCTAAAGTGGTACCTCAGGTTAAGAACAGTTTCAGGTTAAGAATGGACCTCTAGAACGAATTAAGTTCGTAACCAGAGGTACCACTGTAAATGCCTTTTCTTACTCATGAAAACTTGGGAAAATACAAAAAATGTCTAGGAGTTTGAGTTTGGTTGCTCTATTTAGGTAGTTTTTAAAAATAACAAGACAGGTGCCTTAATTTATGTAGGAAATTTAATAAATATAAATTCACTTCTGCATTGCAGGAAAAATGTTTTTGAATGATATTACAATGATATCAAACCTCACTAATAAATACAAAAACGACTAAAACCAGCTGACTGGTAGTAGAGGAAAAAGAAAGGGGAGATTTTGTCCAGTGTTTATGGTCTTGTTTTGAAGATGATTTCTGAATTTGAGCTTCTGGTCTTCCACAACCATGGTCAGCAACAGTCCGATATCCCTCAGAAAGGCCCTGCTAAAGGGAGATGAGGAGAAATCATTCAATTTTGTGGCCTGCTCCTGACCACTCAACCATAGTTTTACATGCTAGTAGGTCTGCCAGGACTCCAGGATTCCTAGCAATGTGGTTGTATAATTATCATTATGTGTTCATGTATCATTGGGTTTGGTAGGAGTGTTGGTCTGAGAAATAAGGGTGAAGATATTTGTCAATATATTGGTTTGTCAAGATCTTACTCCATCTGTGTGATAAAATTATTCAAATCCACTTCACTTTTGTTTCCTTAAATCTCATCATATTCTAAGAACATTAACTTGTGAACTTAGCATACTAAGCTTTTTATTTTCCAGGACATCTTTTTGTAAGTGAATGAAAATTAGAGTATAGCAGGGTAATACAGTCAATCCAATCTAAGCTCTCTCAGAGCTAGCTGTGGGGGTTAGTGGTGTTCCCTGATTTCACATTGATGTGCCAATTTTCAGCTGATGAATAATTGTATGCTGGTAGCTTGCAGGAGTCAAGTGGAGTCTGCTAGTACTATGCGAATACAGGCTTGGATTTTGCTGTCAGAGTGTCTGATTTTATTATTTTCATTTCAGTCAGTAAACTTGTCAATTAGCTGACTTTCCACTAATCAAAAAGAAAAAAGGGGGGAGCATTTTTCAATCAGTAAACATGAAGTCTTGGCTTTGATTGCCATGCTGATTACATAAGTTATCACTTCAGTTGCTACTGGAGAGGGCAACTTAAATCGTTGCATCAGTTCTAGGAATTGCTTGCATTTTCAAGACCAATGAAATATTAACTGTCATTTCTCTCGTTTTCTGTACCTTTTTGAAATGTCAACCTCTTGTTTTTATGTTTCCTCACTTACCTATTTTCTTACATTGCCATGATGAAAGGTAGAAACTTGGCATTGCAACTCTTTCTGTTACGGTATTTAGGTGTGTGCTGTGTACCTTGAGTAAGAAGAACTATTTTCAGTGTTGTCTCTTTGTGTGGAATTCTGCTGTTTATACAGATATTTGGATAACAGTGTCAGCGCTGTTAGAGAAGTGTCCAAACCAGTAGTTTTTGAGCTAACTGTTCTTAGCAATTATGAAAGCAGATATCAGAATGCATCCAGATTATTATTTACTCTCATTTAGCACTTCACTTCTGTGTTACTCTTTTTGAAATCCTGAGTTTTACCCTCTTTTTGTGAGCGAGGCAGAGGTGGTGGGGGATAATGGAATGGAGAGGGGCGAGAATGCTTCTTCTCCCTTGACCCTTCAAAAATACCATCCCAGCGCTGCCTATCGGAATAGGAGATGAAATGAGCCGGGTCCCTGCCCATGTAGTGTGCTTTTTGCTAGTTTTCCAGAAATGTAATAAAGATATGTGAAATGGTTTTGTATAGGAAAGGTTACCAAATCCTTTATAAACCATTTAAGTTGTATATTTCTCAGAACCGGCTGACTGTTCAATATTAAGATAATTTAATAAGTCTTGATACAGACTTGAATTTAATACGTACATCTCACATGAATATTTGAGTTTTTTAAGATTAAACTACCATTACAATAGCAGTTGCTTCCTAAAGTAAATCCAAGATTTGTACTGTCTTAGTTTCATTAATTTATGATGGTGCTGTCTTACGTTGTTAGTGCATAAGGAACCTCAAACCTTAAGGGCTTCAAATCCTGGCCACAAATGTATTTATATGTTGAGGTTGGTATAGGGATGTCCCTAATTTAGCCTGACCAGTTAGGAACATAGTGCAAAAAGCTTTGTTCATTGGCCTCTATGAATTACTCTGCTCCAACAGCAGCGAAAGCAGGAATTGCCAGTGTTGAAAATTAGGCTGGATTTCCACCAGCAAAGTTACATTGGTGTCAATCAGACATGCCTGCACTGTACACGGTTTATTCAACTGCTACGATAAAAGGTTTCTGTTTAGGTCAGACCATTAAAGTATAAGCCATCCAGTCTGAATGTGCCTGGAGAGGGGCTCAGGTTTCCTTCCAGCCATGCCTTTTTTAATGCTCGGATTCACAAAGGCAGTGTGGCATTCCAGTAAATTATTGCTAGCCCCTGGTGTTCTTGAATATTAACCCATTATCAGGGACATTACTGTCCTGTCATAGTAAATCGATTGGACAACTTCTGAATCCAGCTGTTATAATTAGGTGGCACTTAAACATCATTGAGGATAATCAAAGATGTCACTGAAACTGAAGCTTTTGATTGATAAATGATGTAAGTGTTTTGAACTCACCAGGGATCTATTGATTAGATATTTCTTTCATTCTGTTTACTGGTCCATTTATTTAAAAGAACAGAAGCCATTTAATTGCATGGCTTGTTAAATGATGTTGTTGCTGGTACATCTTTGTAGTATGTTGTACTTTTGAGCTAAGAAAAGACGTAAGTGGGTGGTCTTTTAGTAGCATCAGATGGTTGCAATTCCTGGTGTCCTTAGCCACAGTTCACCTAGTGTGTAGCTTTCTAATACAGATTATACTAAAAGTACTTAGTTTCTCAGATTTATAGCCACCTCATCTGGAAAGTTTGGTGATGGGTAACAAACATGCCTGGAAGTTGGCCTTTCTTGCTATCTTCTGAGTAAAAAGAATGAGATTGCCAATCAATTAATGATTTGGTTTATTTTCATGGGGGCAAATTTTAATTGATGGGGCCCCCTGCAGTTGTTGGGCTTTGGGAGGGAAGGGTTTAAAAAGATAATATATTAAAGTGGTCTTTCTAAGAATGAGTGGTTGTTTTTGTTTTGCAGTTGAAAGTTATCTCACATTTCTCCATGTCACAGAAGGCCACCTGAGATTTTAATAATATTACTGGAGTTAAATTTAATTGGCAATATGCCTTTTAACTGATCAGTGACAGCAATAAAGAGGTTAATTCTCCCCTCACAGCTGCCATGCCAAAGTGTGTTTCAATAGAATTTTGGAAATTAAGCCATTCTTACACATCATATGAGAGGCAGCTTGCTTTCTCCCTTTACCAAAATTTTTGCTAAATACTAACTTTTTGTCACTGTGTTCTTTGTAATTCTTAAAACTAAAAGTTCTAGAATTCTTATCTGTGTAAGGATTTAAAACTATTTGTTTTTGTAATAAGTCTTAAAATACACCTATTTGTGGTTCACTGTGATATGTTACATCTGTGTTTATATTTTATTTTGCTTTAATTTCACAGATATTGGTCCCCAAGACTCATGGCAAGGTCCTACACCTCTCTTTCAGCACCCACCACAAAGATTTGACAGGTATTTGTTAAAAATTTCCTTTTAATTACATATGTTAGTGTCTTAATGGAAACCAACTCCTAGAATTTCTGTAAGTGTTATTTTTGTTATAAAGATCTCTCTAAATATCTCTCTAAACCCATCCTTGGATGGTTTCCATAAGACCTTTCCTTTAATAATCAGAAACTTCAAAATTAACTTTGCTGTTGATGCTTCTGCTGTAGCATTCTTGGTTCTTTGGCCTCTCTCTCTTTGAAGCACTATGAATTTCAACACAGACAGCTTAAAATTGCATTAGGTTTTGGACAGGCTAAACAAATTTCTTTTTAGGAGAGTCGTGGAGCTTAATGAGGCATAACTAATGGTGGTCCACTTTTATCATCACTGTGCAGGAACCACAGCATTAGTACAGACCAGCCATTGATTCTTGCTACAAACCTCTTGAAGTCCTAATCAGCTTCTTTGGTGCAGCTTTTTCAGGCCTGACAAGTCTATTGTAGGCCAGTGTCACTGTAGGTCAGTAGTTATTAGTTGCCACTGAAAACAGTTTCTTTAACTACTTAAGACTGAACTGAATTAAATGCAGGAGGGACTCTGAGGAGGATTAAGGAATCTGCAGTCCAATAAGTACCATGGAACAGAGAGAATGTGACATGGTTTGATAATAAGGGATGTTTTATATGTGTGTCCCTTCATTGAGAAGCTGATTGTATGCCCTTAAAACCAGATATCCTGGGGTTTGGAAAGTGTATCTGTGAATAATTCTGTTATATCTGTAGAGCAAAATACGATAATACAAATAAAATAGTTGCTAAACTGAGCATATGTTTTCTTTGTATGTATTGTTCCTTGCTATAAGAGAACACCTAATAACAAAAAATTGAGTAAATTGCCTTCTAATTTTGCTATCACAGTTCCAAGAGTATATGGGAATTCTGATTTGAGGGGAATTCTGATTAATTATTTAACTTGAAGTGCTTTACTTTCCTTATATTTGTAGGCCATTTTTTTTAAAAAAGAGTTCAAGAACATTGTGACTTGTCTCTTTATAGTCATAATCAAGAATACTCATTAATGTGCTTTCATCGATTTTTGTACTGCTATTAAATTAAATCAGTTAAATCATAAGTACAGCATAATATGCTATGCTTTCATTATGACACCCCTCCCCCCTGTCAAGAGTAAATAAACCTTTCTGAGCTCCCCTGCATTTAACTGAGACCAAAAGCAAGCAGTTTGCTTAGCTGTAGTTGTTCTTGTTCCAAGTTAAATGGGAAGGCAGGTCAGATTTTTTAAAAGGAGATTACACATTTAAGATTCCTGCGATATTTTACAAAAAGGCGAGAGTGCTGCCTTCTCTCCCACCCCTGGCACTTGCCCAGTTAATCTCAGTGGGCAGTTAATGTCTGCAGCCTCTGTCGGTATTCTGGTCTGCTTTTCAGTTAAGATGGGCTCACCACAATGGCAGGTCAAGGAGGACTATATCATTCATTTTGGAGAAGCCTCCACCCCGCCTTTAAGAACCATTTATGTAAATGTGGTATTCTCAAAGGACCACCTGCTTGCTATATCATGAACTTGATCGGCTCCCTGAAACAATTTTATCTCACTGTGGCAGACCTATCAAATTTTAATCAAGATGGGCTAGAAGGTACATCCACTGTTTCACTTGTTAGAAGGAGGAAATAATTCTCAAATGTCACAACAGCTGGGCCCATTTCAGATATTTCATTTCATTATAGGACCTGACTACCTGTGAGGTTGTATGATGAAATACATTTCTACCCCCCACCGCTGAGATGCTGTCTGAGACTAAGAATGCAAAAGCTTGATTTTTCTTTGTATTATCAATTTCACACAATGCTGTGTTGGTATCAGGTGACCTGGAGCATGTTCAGAAGGTACCTTGCTGAAGTTAAATAGGTCTGAGTCTGGTCAATCACTGGGGGGAGGCTGCCTGAGAATCTCATATATTCTGCCTTGAGTTCCATGATGGAATAAAGGTTGGGGTATAAATAGACATTGGTGGTTCTTTGTTTCAGGCAAAGTAATTTGCATGAACGGATTTACATGAAAGTGCCATCCCTGTCTGTAAGATAGGATTTCAGCTTTTCAACTTCTGATTTACTTGCTAGGTTAATTTTGAAAGTTGAAGCTTTTCATGGCTTAATCTTGCATCTGTGAGAATTAGGTATTGGGGTCAGGCGCCATTTTGCTTTGTTTTCAAGTGCTTGAAAATATCTACTTGGCCGCTGCTGGAAGCAGAATTTGGGGCTAGGTGGATCTTTTTTTAATCCAGTAGGGCAGTTGTTCCATTCTTATAGAATGTTGCAGAAAAACTTTTTTTTATCTTTCATGGACCAGAAACACCACACATATAGCCAGGTTCACCTCAGAGTATAAGCCATTTCATAGTGGACAACCAGGAATCCCTGACTTCTCACCACATTAGTGACTTACGAAGAGTGCTGGTTGTCAAAAGTAGTGCTCTGCTATCCTCTGCTAAGTGGCAACTCAAGGGGAAGAAGGGCCCTATTATTTTAATGGTGGGTATTGGTGCAGGAGGGATGCGGGTGGCGCTGTGAGTTAAACCACAAAGCCTAGGACTTGCCGATTAGAAGGTTGGCGGTTCGAATCCCCGCGACGGGGTGAGCTCCCGCTGCTTGGTCCCTGCTCCTGCCCACCTAGCAGTTCGAAAGCACGTCAAAGTGCAAGTAGATAAATAGGCACCGCTCTGGTAGGAAGGTAAACGGCGTTTCCGTGTGCTTCTCTGGTTCGCCAGAAGCGGCTTAGTCATGCTGGCCACATGACCCGGAAGCTGTATGCCAGCTCCGTCAGCCAATAAAGCGAGATGAGCACCGCAACCCCAGAGTCGGTCACGACTGGACCCTTTACCTTTACCTTTATTGGTGCAGGGGTGTCAACTTGAATAAAATATTGTGGGGGCCCAGGAAAGCCCCACCCCACAAAATTGATCACATGACACAGTGCACACACACTATTTGAATGGGAATGCCCATCAACTTTGCAGGGACCTGGCCACCTCAAATATTTTATTGTGGGGGCCAAAGCTCCCACAGCCCCTAGGAATTGACTTCTATGTATTGGTGGGAGGCTGGAGTTACTGAATAGCCTTCCATTCACATAGACTTCCTATCTTGGTAGGAGGTAGCAGCCATGAAAGCAGCAGTTTCAGTAGATGTTTGCTGGTGCTTGAGCGAAGCAAGTCTAAAATTCTATTGGATTTGCAGAACAAGAAAAGTGCATCTTTGAATCCTAGCCTACTAGCTTTGGTAGAGTTCCACTAGGAACTCTTGAGAAATGTTAACTCTGGCTTATACAACAACACTAGGCACTTGATGACTGTTGCTCAAAGTACATGAAATGGTATTTCCAATACTTTCCCCAAGATACTGATCATGTAACTAGCCAGATGATACATTTTAGCTACTCTATATTATTTGGTCCTGCTAATGATACATCATTTTGCTCAAATGTATCTGTCTTCAAATGGATTTTAAATTTTTGGTTAAGACAGATGAAATCCTGTGGGTGACAGAGCTTAGGTCTTAACTATAACTAAAACAAACTACATTTTCCGGTATATATTTATGTGTATATGACCTCTTGCTATATACTGGTACAGTTAAAACAGTACTTATTGGTAATCTGGGATGGCATTCTTGGTGATAATAAGGCATTGCATTTGTGTTCCCATATAAACAGTATGCCAAATGTTGGTTGGTCCATGCCAATTAGTGCTTACGTTGCTAGGTCACTGTGGTCAATTGAACACGGCATCAATAGAACTTGAAAAGGTTTCCTCCTGATCAGACCTTCTGACATACTGAGTAGAATAATGGATGGGGGGAGATAACGCTTAAAGCCCTTACCCTGGATTCAGACTACTCTGCAGTAAGAATTCATTTGCAACCTGCAATTAACTAGAAAGAATGGACTCCCAGATTAGCCTGGATGTCCACAAAATAAAGCCTCACTCTGGCGCTTGTTTACTCTTGAGATAATGTTACATTTTGCTGACGTGATTTTTTTCTTTATACTTCAAATCCCTGCACAGAGGCAGGTTGGGGAGGCAGCAATACCAAATGGACCATATTCTTTCAGGACATCTTTAAAACCTGAATCTGAATTTGACAAAGATTTTTAAATCCTTAGCTTTGTTCCCAGTGAGCATACAGGAGTGAAAAGACAAACAGAGACTTTTGTTTTTAGTTTAGTTTTTGTTTAATGTTCCACTACCAGGAAAGAAGCAAAATTGTTCTAATATAACAGTAAGTTTGGTTTTTAAGAGGTGCTTAATATTTCTGTAAATAAGCTGAGGTGTGCCATATCCAACGCCACTTACGATAGCTTTTAGACAGATGGTAAGAAAACTTGTACATATGATATACATGTTTTTTCTTCAGAAATTCAGGGGCCACTCCGCTTCTTGCATGGAACCGCATGCCTCATTCGCAAGGACAACCCTACCAACAGAATCAGTACCAACGCCCAGGTGGACCAATGAATTACCCACAAAGGCCCAATGATCGGAGGGAAAGGGGAAGACAGGTAACAAAGTGCTGTGTGGTTGTTCTTTGTGATCCTTTAGCAAGCTAGAAGAAAGTGGGGTATAATGTAATCTCAATCCTGAAAGCTAACAGGATGTTCTTTGGCTAAAGAAAAAATCGTATGTATAGTCATTGAATGTATGGGATATATTAAATACAAGCAACTCCCAAGGAGTGTTCCAAGGCACTATATGTTTAAGTGAAATCGTGTATATTTGAAACACCATTGAAAAAGCCTACAACACACACACACACGTTCTGCCCCCACCTCTTTTTGTGACGTTTTTGGGTCACTTGCAGGTTCTGCGCGATGTGCACATGTATGGTTGCACACATATCAGACATATCTAAAACAGTGGCTTCCTGTAAATTAATCATTTAGCAAAGAGTACATTTTCACAGTAAGGTACTTGAACACCCAGTGAGTTTTTCTGTGGATCTAACTGTGGTTAAGACTCATTATAATTAATGTTGTCCTGTTAATTTTAATGGGATATAAGGATGAATAATTTTATCTGGACTGTGGCTGATATCTAGACTTGTAACAATTTTCACACATCCTATGCTGAAAATATCTGCCACCGCAAAATGTCAAAGGATTGTCATTACCAGAAGAATATGTTTGATGACAGGGTCCTTTTGCTGCCTCCATTCTCTTTCAGAAGTGGCCACTCCATGGGGAGGAGGAACTGGAGCAGCTCCTGCCCCTGCCAGCTAGATAGGAGCTCTGTCGTGTTTTCCAGACCTTTTTTGCCTTTGTGGGACTTGGCATGCTTCCTTTGGTCATGTAGGGCAGTTTGCCGTGAATGTGCATATGCTCTTTCTGTGATGAGCTTGCATGTGAAGGCCCTGCTTTTGTCTGGGACTGGGGTGGAGGACCTGCTCTCCATGTCTTGCTGGACTATCTCCCATCTTCCTTGACTATTGGCCATGTTGGCTGGGTCTGGTGGAAGTTAAAGTCCAACAAGAAGGCCACAGGTTCCTCATTCCTTTGAAGAATCTCTGACTTCTTTTATTAGCCATACATATTTTGCCTAAAATCAAAATGATATTTTTATCTCAAGGCCTGAATTGCTACTAATTTTTCTTTTTTAACATGCAATAAAGAATCCAGTCAATATAAGTAGGCATACAACATGCTAACCAGTTGAAAACTGTGTACATAGGCAAACGATAACTAAAAACATTAAACTAAACAATGTGGAAATTATTGAGCCACCTTCTGGGACTGATCTTAGCTTTTGAAATAATATAAGAATCAAATTTTAGCCTTACGTTCTCTTTCAAGAGTAACTGAATAGGTAGAAACAGGTAGCATTCTGAAGAGGTTTCACTTCTCTCTAATGCTAGGATCAGCTATCATTCTGTTTTAAAAACTTGTTTCCTGTGTAATTTTCCCCTGTGGTAGGTCTGCATAGTCCCTTTTTCAAAAATAAATTCTTACCTGGCATAATTTTGGATAATCTGATATCCCTCTTATAAGACTGCACACAATCTGAAAGACAGATCTTGCATTCCAGATCTTGATTCTCTCCCCAGCCCACCCCCTCAAGTTCCCTTGATGCAATGACATTTCACTGCTGGCACCAAAACACAGTAATCCATTGATATCTCAGGTCTGCACTTGTGCCTTTACTGGGATGATTGCATGAGAGTATAAGTGTTTTCGCAATTCTTACCTTAAACACCTGATACTGAAAGCTCCTATTGAAATTGCATCAAACTGTTGATAAGCTGTCCTGAGCATTTGGTGGATGCTTCTTACCACAGTTGCGAGGGGGGTGGAGCTGTCCAAACATTCACACAACCATCACTTGGATGTACATCCTGGTCTTGTTCAAAAGCCATTCATCGGGGAAGGCTATTGAAAATGAAAAACTGAAGTTCTCCACATCTGGACATGTCTCACATGGAGTGAAGAATGCAGAGTTTTCTGTAAGGCACTTTGCAAGTTGCCAGTGTTAGGATTGGTTGCTGATTATTACTTTGATCTTTTGTCTTTCAAAAGATAGCCTAAATAGGACCCCAGAATTGGATTCATGTTTGGGTTTCATTTGTAAAATTTCCCCCAAAATATACCTGCCATACTCAAGGACAGCATTAGATTCCTTTTTGTCTCTAACACTTCCCAATAGATCTGTGGGCAGCCCATCAAATGCTTTGTTCACCTGTCACAGGATTGCCACAGACGCACTAGGTTGCCTATGGAATAGCAGTTGTTGGGGCATCAGATAGAAGTCTGGAGATCGGATTTTGGCCACAGGCCTCTTTGCTAACCCTTTGCATAGATGCAAGTACTGTTTATTAAGCATAGCATGAAATAGTTACCCTAAGTTCCCTTTCAGAGAAACTATAAGGTTATTTACTACTTTGTACCCTATGTCAAAATGTATTTTATTGAAATATTGTACATATTTGCAAAAGAGTCCTCTTTTACAATTGCCGACTTTTGAATTAACTCTTAGTATTCTGTTGTTCACATAGCTTAATGACCCTTTTGCATGCTGCATAATGTAGTGCAAATAAAAGAATGTGAACAATAATTTCATGTTACTGGTCAAGAGTAACTGGTCAGTTCAAGTATCAAGCAGTTAATTTAATAGGGTTAATGTTAAACTTAAACTTCCATGTAAATATGTTTTGTAATATGTTTTGTAATGTTAATTTACCAAGTTTCCGTTTTAGGTTCCCCTTATACTTTTAAAGTCCAGTTTTACTCAAAGAAAAAAATGGCAACTTTAATAGTAATAGTAATAAAAATAGCTATAATGGAGTTCAAGGATTGGTGGCAATTGAGGGATATGATCCAAGCCAAAGTTAAAACCTACTGATTTAGAGAGAAAGATAAGCACATCCTTAATTCTCTCTGGGTTTGATGAGGCATAACATTGCTTAACTTTGGGCTGGATTGTGCCTCCATTTGCATGTCATTTTATTTTTCTTGTACCACTTTTCTTGTAATCTCTTCTTTTTGTTTTGTACTACCTTATGACTGGAAAAAGAGTAATACTATCTTTCTCTTTTGCAGGGTTATGGAAGGCCTTACCCATTGCCACCATCTTCTGGAAGATACAACTGGAATTAGGCTTTCGGCATTTCCACCATTTAAAATAATCCTTTTTTAAATGCCATCTTTATCATCTGAGTACTTTCTAGGTGATAAACTTTCTTTTTAAACTGTGTACATTTTTACTGATAAGATTTGATATGATACATATGTTACTTTACAACTGTACTGCAGAATACAAGTGAAATTAGCACTTTTTTGCTTGTGTGAAAAGTCTAATGAATCAGGAGTCCTGTTCTGTCTTTACTGTGTGGTTTTTATTGCATTACTACATTGTTGATGCCTTTCGTATTCACATAAGAATATCCCTTTGGTTCACAGCTAGGAAAAGGTTTGTCCTATGAAGAATAGCATTGAAAACACACAGAGAAATTGTGTTTTAATTGTGGAAGTTAGCTTAGAGGCTATCTACAAGCACAATGTTTTAAAGACTTTTGGTCAGCATTCCTTCTAAAGTGCTTCATTGTTGATGTATTTGTCCCTTTAAAAAAAGTTGGCGAAGTTTTGAAGTAAAAGTTTCATCTTTTACAACATCAATGTATCTTTGTTATGCAGTTTGTTTCATATTATTAGACAAGAATTAGAAGTTCTCAAGTTTGGCTGAGTCATTCCTATGCTACTTCATCCACGGGACCCACTTATGCTGCCTGCCTACTAAAGCAAACTGTGTGTGAGAGAGACAGAGAAAGAGAGAAAAAACACTCTTCTTTCCTTCAGTAACTTCTTAAAGCTTGACTTTGAGATATTAAAAATGAATGGTCTAAAATAAAGGCCTCTTCCTCCTGAAGCACTTACCCAACTATTAAATTAGATAAATTAGCAATGCTTTCCCCACTTCTTTTACAAATACACTAAAGGGAAAATTTATAGTTCACCCCTTACCACATCACTAGGTGTATACTACTTTCGTGCAATCCCAGCTCTCTGCTCTCAGGAGGTTTGCAGCAGGAAACTCCCACACCAGCCGTGGCAGGAAGGGGAGTTGAATTGGGTCCCAAAACATTTAATTTAGAAACGTTAATAGAATTGTCATCTTCCTATATGCAGGGATTTTCTTTTTCTAGGAACTTGCTCATTTGTTTTCTGTGTTTATATGCCTCCTTTTGGGCAAGGCATTCAGAACAGGTCACAGTTTATAATAATAAAATGTCCAAAGCTAGGATAAGACAGGACTAGTTCGCATGTATGTTCATCGCTTGATGGCTGCTACATCAACGGATGAATTGCATGTGTGAATGAGGCGTTGGAGGACTAATGCCACAAATAAGAGCTTTAATGTGCACTAGATGTCACTCTAAAATGCAATGGATTTCTTTCTTTTTTAAAAGAATATTTTTTATTGGTTTTTCCATGAATACATCCTCTAACAGTATTTCTCTAACAATTTTCCATATTTCCCCCCTCCTCCTCTGGACTTCCCTCACATTCCCATTTTGTTTTATTTCCATATTACTCACCCTGCATGTTGTTTCCCAAAATTTTCCCAATACATATAGTCTTACTTTTTGTTATATACAATTGTGTTTGTTTATTCAAACCCTGCCAATGAGTCCAATTCTTTATGCTGCCTCTTCATATATGTTGTAAATCAGGGGTCAGCAAACTTTTTCAGCAGGGGGCCGGTCCACTGTCCCTCAGACCTTGTGAGGGGCCAGTCTTTTTTGGGGGGGAGGGAATGAACAAATTGCTATGCCCTACAAATAACCCAGAGATGCATTTTAAATAAAAGGGCACATTCTACTCATGTAAAAACACACTGCTTCCCGGATCGTCCACAGGCTGGATTTAGAAGGGGATTGGGCTGCATCCAGCCCCTGGGCCTTAGGTTGCCTACCCCTGTTGTAATTGGTTCCCATTCTCTTTTAAAGTCTTTGTTATCCTTTTCATGTAGTTTATCTGTTAATTTTGCCAGTTCTGCATATTCCATAAGTTTCCCTTGCCATTGTTCTTTCGTTGGTATTTCTTTTGTCTTCCAAGCTTGTGCTAATTCAATTCTTGCCGCTGTTGTTGCATACATAAATAATTTCCAATTTTCTTTTTTTAAATCTTGATCTAAAATTCCTAGGAGGAATGCTTCTGGTTTCTTAACAAAAGTCTTTTTAAACATTTTTTTCAATTCATTATATACCATTTCCCAATAATTTCTAACCCTTTTGCATTCCCACCACATATGTTAAAATGTACCATCTTTTTCTTTACATTTCCAACAAATTTTAGATCCTTTTTATACATTATTACCACTTTCTCTGGCGTAATATACCATCTGTACATCATTTTCATATAATTCTCTTTCAACAAAATACAATCTGTAAATTTTAAATTCACCTTCCACATCTTTTCCCAATTTTCCCAATTTTCCTGTTATATGGGGAAACGCTGGATGAAATGGTAAAGTCAGCACAAATAAAGTGGGCTCATATCATGAGCCCACTTTATTTGTGCTGACTTTACCATTTCATCCAGCGTTTCCCCATATAACAGGAGATTATAGATTTTTTGAGTAATTTTGTATCACTCTCAATTATCTCTTTTTGAAAGTTTGACACTGTGTAGCTGAAACCTTTCTTATTGTCTCCCTTAAACTGTTCATTTAATTGTCTATGATGTAAGCAACTTTGGGAAAAAAACTTTAGTTGCTCATATTCTTTCAGCTTTAAGCCTTTTTCCACCTCTATTAATAATTCTCTGTACGTCGGCCAATTTCCTCTCTTACTAAGAGGTTTTAATGCTAATGCTTCCACCTGTGGAAGCCACCATGCATTTCAACATTGTGTTCAGATATCACCTACTAATAATCTATTGTTGAAAAACTGAAGCTACAATCTTGCATATGCTTACTTGGGAGTAAACTGCATTGAATTTAGGCATTTCAACTCAGAATTCAGTTTAGGATTGCACTCTAATGTAATGGACATGGCACTCACCCCATTAATTATTACTTTTAAAATTAGGCGTATTTTTCACTATTGATTTGAGGATTGGTTCTGGTTCCTCAGCAGGAATGTTAAGAAATTCACTTCATTTTCAACTATGGTTTTATTATCTAATGTTAGTCGTACTCTTGAGTAGAAACACTGAAAACAATGGATTGAGGTCAGTTGATTTCAGTGAGTTTACTTTGAGTATGACTAACACTGGGTATAACCCCATGGTTTTTTATGCCTAAACTTTAGCTAATCTTTAGCTTATGCTCGTACCTGGATCCAATATGTTTACTATGAGCTAATTCAAGTTAGACTTGGTATAAATAGACATGCAGCAGAATGAAGTGACGGCGCAGACTGGACTACCATTGCTTGCTCCCTTCCTCCTTTTTTATTTTTACTTGCATGGAATTTGTTTAGGGGAGTACCAGCAATCTGTAGTCTGAAGTAGTATAGTCTGCTCTATCATATCAGTTTCATTCCTCCTCCTCCTCCTCCTTCAGTAGATCAGAATGTGGGATGGAATGCTTGAAACAAGCCCTGGACCTCTTTTGAAGGAAGGGAAGAGAACAAGCCGCCTGCATTTTTGTGTGGAAGAGAATTTCAGCATTTTTGTTTGTCATGGATCATGGAGGAGCCCTGTTCCCTTTTGCAGGATAGGACCAAAAAGTGCAGTGGACAAAAATTAAAACTGGTGTGGGAAGCGAGGGACCAAGCTGTGAAAAAGGCAGGTCTCCGAGACAGCTAGACATGCCAGGGAGAGAGTTGCGGTATTGTTTGCCCATGAATGGAGGGGTAGACCATTCATGGGGGCTTCTTCATCGTTCACTGAGTGCCACAGTAAAGTGAAAGCTTGTGTGTGTAGGTCAGTAAAGGTAAAGGTAAATGTCCAGTCAAAGGCGACTATGGGGTTCGGCGCTCATTTCGCTTTCAGGCTGAAGGAGCTGGCGTTTGCCCACAGACAGCTTTCTGGGTCATGTGGCCAGCAGGAATAAATCGCTTCTGGTGCAGTGGGACACCGTGATGGAAACCAGAGCGCACGGAAACGCCGTTTACCTTCCTGCTGCAGTGGTACCTGTTTATTTACTTGCACTGGCATGCTTTCGAACTGCTAGGTTGGCAGGAGCTAGGACAGAGCAATGGGAGCTCACTCCGTCGCAGGAATTCAAACTGCTGACCTTCCGATCAGCAAGCCGAAGAAGCTCAGTGGTTTAGACCACAGTGCCACCTGCGTGGGTTTTTTAAACCTTTTTTGTGTTTGTAAATTAGCCATCTCACAGGTGTAGGCTTACATACGCACACACATATCCTGCAGCAGTAAACCTGAGCTTGATACAAGTGTATATTTGACTTAAAGCTGCAGCTAATCCTGACAATACAGAAGTCCTGTTTTGGGGGGACAGGAGGTGGGCAGGTGTGGAGGACTCTCTGGTCCTGAATGGAGCAACTGTGCCCCTGAAGGACCAGGTATACAGCCTGGGAGTCATTTTTGGACTCACAGCTGTCCATGGAGGCACAGGTCAATTCTGTGTCCAGGGCAGCTGTTTATCAGCTCCATCTGGTACTCAGGCTAAGACCCTACCTGCCCGCGGACTGTCTCGCCAGAGTGGTGCATGCTCTGGTTATCTCTTGCTTGGACTACTGCAATGCGCTCTACATGGGGCTACCTTTGAAGATGACCCATAAACTACAACTAATCCAGAATGTGGCAGCTAGACTGATGACTGTGAGCGGCCGCTGAGACCATATAACAGTATGTTTCCGAGCACAATTCAAAGTGTTGGTGCTGACCTTTAAAGCCCTAAATGGCCTCAGCCCAGTATACCTGAAGTATACCTCCACCTCCATCGTTCTGCCTGGACACAGGTCCAGCGCCGAGGGCCTTCTGGCGGTTCCTTCACTGCAAGAAGTGAGGTTACAGAGAACCAGGCAGAGGGCCTTCTCGGTGGTGGTGCCTGCCCTGTGGAATGCCCTCCCATCAGATGTCAAGGAAATAAACAACTATCTGACTTTTAGAAGACAGCTGGAGGCATCCCTGTTTAGGGAAGTTTTTAATGTTTGATTCTATGTTGGGAGCTGCCCAGAGTGGCTGAGGAAACCCAGCCAGATGGGCGGGGTATAAATAATAAAATTATTATTATTATTTTATTTTATTTTTTATTATTGTAGCTTTCTGAGGAGTGTTTCTGTGTGAGGAACTGTTTGCAAATGCTTGTTGGTTGTGTTCACACTTCACATTTTAGGTTTATGCTCTACAAATCATGTGAAGCAGTTACAATTTTCCCTGCTTAGAAAATGTCCTTGCCAGCCATTCAGAAAAACTGCTGCCTTTATAGACACTTTCCTGCGACTCTTTCCCAGCACCTTTCCCTTCGGAAGGACCCTAGCAAAGATACACCTGTTCTTTATAGTTGAACAGAGCCCCAAATTTCTAGAGCTCTGAATAACAGGACGGAGAGAAATGATCCAGGAAAGGATTGATTTATTCTCTGTGGCTTCTTTGCCCCTAGCCAATGACTATACCAATTCAAAAATATTATCAATCTGATAGATTGTTTTGTGCTCCCAGCAAGGTAGGCCTGTCAGCCTGTCACAGCAAAAGAACTTGCGCTATAACAAACATGTCTGTCTTTAGGGTGCCATAAGAATCTTTGTTATCAATTTGTGTCAGTTATTGTGGGGAAAGGCCCTGTCATTTCTGCCTCTGTACAGAGCCTGGTACACAGGAGAGGGGTTTTTTTGCAGGGATGGTTCTGGATGGTGGTTCTCATACACCCCTAGGTTGAAATTCCCCTAAGAGACCATGAAATAATCCCTATTTGCCTTCAGAGTTGCAGCAGGAGGAGCCAGTTCGTCCAGCCCCTTCTCCCCCATGCAGGTGCCTCTTTGCAGAGTTAAATGCTGGTCTCTCTCCTGGACAGTCTTGGCCGCCAATTAAAGGCCTGCAGGAGGGAGCCTCTCGAGGGCCCCCAACTCCAGGGGCTGGAGAGGGAGAGTGCTCCTCCAGCTGACTTTGCCCTCCACTGCACCAGGGAAACTTTGGGAGGCTCTTTGTTCCCACTTAAGACCCCTTCCTGGCTGGGCCGCACCAAAGACACTTATCCACCTCTTCAGATAATGAGCTTCACCCAAGTCTGCCTGGTTTGTCTTCGCCTTAAGGATCTCGGCAGCACTAATTGCAGGAGAAGCCCTTTCTTTCAAGCAGCCCGAAAAATGTCGCAACTGAATGGAAAGGAAGGTTCCTCTGGGCCGAGGAAGACGGAGAAATGCTCGCTGCTCCCCAAAAATAACCAGTTTGGCTTTTCAATCATAAAGGGGTTTTAAGTTGGAGGGCAAATTAGCACCAGGAACCTTTTACAATATATTTATACAGGCACATGCAAAGACTGCTTTCAGTAGCTAGCATATATACTTTAGCTATGGATGGGCAGAGTAGTAAAGACTTGCAATGGTTATAATATTTGTTATTTTAAAAAATAGTTTTATTCTGCTGTTAGGAGCTGCACAGGGAACAAGTAGATATGTTCTGATGCATTATGGTGGAGAGTGCAACATGCCCTTTTCAGTTTAGTAGTGTTGCTTAGTCATCACAATTCCTGAGCAAATCTTGCCAAGCTAAACTTAGTATGCTTTAGACATGCAGTTAAATAGTGATGTTTCCTTGCTTGGTGCCTTCCTTGCCAAGGTGTCAGGCATTCAAAAGACATCTCTCAGGCTTCCCATTACAGCTTCAGAGAAGCCAAGAGCTCTCTTTGACTCACTGCGGGTGAGATACACATTTTTAAATAATATATGTGTGCATTCAACACACAGAATTTCTAGGTTTAAAATGAAACTTTCCCAGACTTGCACACACTGGAAAACTTGCACAGCCTTTGTGCAGGGACTAAGAAAACTGTTGCTGCCTTTGTGCAAGGACAAATTAAGAAACTCATTTATTTAGATTATTAAATTAAACATTTTTTTCTAGAGATAAAAGTTGAGAGCAAACACCCGATATTCAGGCCCCTTCCTTCCATTTATCTCTGGCTCTTTATTCACATTAAAAAGAACTGCCAATGCCATCTCCTTTCCTCCACTTTATTATGGTGTGGAACAGGGCTTGCAAAAATGGTCTGATTGGATTTTAATCCCACACAAGAAATGAATAATAAACCTACGAATAATTTGGCACAAATCACCGGGCAGTTTTGCAGCGCCAGCTCCGCTGGAGTGACCAGGAGAGCCCTTGCCCAGCGCCTGTTCCTTTCAAGTCCGCAGAAGTCCCAGGGGAGTTGGAGCGCGTGTATCTGCGTCGTCACCCTCAAGTTTAGGCGAGCTGGGGGAGCTCCTGGGCGCACGGGAAAGGCCTTTGCAGTTTGGGGGAAGCCCCTTCGTCTCTAAACTGAATTGCTGTAAATACCAAGAGAATCCTTTACCATTCCGAGGGGGCCCAAGCCAATGTCGCTTCTTCACTTGCTCCGTCGCTCTTGCTCTTTGGGCTCAGCCCCGCTAGTTCAGAGCCCAGAACAAGTTCGACCACCTGAGGCTCTCCACCTTGGTATACAGATATTTGCGCCTGGCGATGTCCCGGTCCACACGCACTTTCCTCCCGCAGGAATGGCCTGCCCAAGCAACAGCTTTTTCCTGATCACCGCGTGTGGTCCGGTTCAGAAGTGCACATTCCTACCTCGCGTGTCTAAATGAACTGTGCCAGATCAAACCACGGAAGACAAAACTCTCGCGTGGCCCCAAACACATCATTTCCCCGCGGTCTCGGTTTCTATATTCGCTTTAGAGTTTTGTGCAGTCCAATCCGACAGATGTTCACTTAGAATAAACTCCCATTGGCTTCAGCGGGAACGATTTCCAGGTAGTTTACAGCCCCAGTGCTGCTCATAAACTTATGACTTTACCCATTTCCTCTTCTATCCTAGGAACATTTCTGGTGGGTGGGAGAGTACGTGCTAGTAATTTTAATCAGGTTTAGGCTGCGATCCTATATCCACTTGCTTGGAGTAAGCCGCACTAAACTCAATGGATGTTACCTTTGAGTAGACGTGCATATAGGATTGTCGGGTCACAGTACGCACATTTACTCGAGAGTATTGCCACGTCCAATGGACTTTCGAGGCAATGCATTTAGTTTTACAGGTAAGTAAGCGTACATCTTAAAAACAGGCGAATAACTCACCAGTTCCCTAATAATTATGGAATTGTTTTTCTGTCTCCATCTCGCACGCTTTCCTTTTCCAAAAAGTTCTTTGTCGCTGATATTTCCCAGCCCCCGCCTTATCCTCTATTACTTTAAGACAATTGGATGTCACTGTCTTTTAAGTCCCAAAGAACAGTAACTTAATAATGAATATTTATTGGTCTAAATAAAGTGATCCTAATCAAGATAACAGGGGAAATAAAACTGGTGTCTGCAAATGGCTAAAGTATGTTTTGTCCAAACGTTTATTTAGGATAGTAAATACAATAAGAGGTGGGAGGAAAGTGAGGGTGCAGCAGGATTGTAACATTTCATGCAACCCGGTCCTTTTACCATTAAGTCCAAATTCTTGGATTTAAGTACTTACAGTCCGATCCTGTGCATTTTTCCTGGGAAGCAAGTCCCAGTAAGTTCAGACTTACTCCCAGGTATTTGTGCCATCTCATAATTATTATAGTTGAATCGCAAACGGATTTAATCGGAAAGAGGTGTGCCATTTGTTATAGGTAGCATTCCGGGCCTCGGTCCGGAGCAGCGAAGAAGACGAAAATCCCGCATCAACCATACACCACAGAATATGCTAAGCCTATTTCGTCTCTCTGCAGTCTGAGCCTCTCTCTTTCTTCCCCATGCATTTTCTAACTGGCGTTCCCAAGTAAGACCCACTGAGATCAATGGGACTGATTTCCTAGTATTTAGGATTGCAGCCTCAAGACGTTCGTTCACAACGTGGTTTTGCTTTGCTTTTCTTTTAACCCGACTTCTAAACACAACACGGTGTCTTAGTCCCTCTAAGACTAACCTGATACAGCTAAAGTAAATTCAGAGCCACTAACTTTTAAGTCCCATTGACTGCAATCACCTTAAATGCCACGTGCGGCAGAACATGCGCTTACATAAAAGAAAGTGCCATTGAACTAAATGTGGCTTAGGTAAGTGGCGAGTGCAGCCTAAATCCCTCTAAATTCAAATGGGCCTCTTCCATCGCAGTCTAACTTGCTCCGAATGGACAGGATCCAGCCCAAGTGTGGTACTTCAAAAACATACTGGTGTGAAACGAGAGACAGAGATTTAAACTTGAGCTTTCTCGTTTAAAAGACTTAAACAAGAGCCTAGCTTTGGTTAGATCGCGTCCTCTTGGTTCCGAGTTTATTTTAAATGACACATACTGTATTTCCAAAGATCCAGTGTTAACTTCAAAAAGAACTATCCATTTTGTTTTAATGGAACTGACTTCCCACCTAAACTTAGCAGTAAATGTCACTTTGAGGAATACGGAGAAAATAGAGCAATGGAAAATGCCCAAATTTATCTTAATTGTGGAGACACGGAAATCCATCATGCCCAATAACGTGTTTACAAAATAATTACCTAAAATGCACTGAAAGCGTAGTCTTTCGCGTGTCTACTGGGAAGTAAGTCCTACCGGACTTCCTCCCAAGGAAATGTCTTTCTTCTTTCTGAGTAGACGTGCATAGGATCGCGCCATTCCAGGGCGGGAGGGGAATTCTGTGCGCTGGGCAAGAGTGCTTGGCTTGTGCTCTGAGATCCTAAACAGAACTCTTTACGCGGAAGAAACTTCAATTCAGCACCGGCCAGAAGCACTTAGAGCTGGGTGGTAGCAAAGCCCCATTCAGCTCAGTAAAGCGGGACCTTAAAGCTTCCTGGAAGTTCTCCTGCGCCATCTCCACGAATGTGAACCGGGAACTCCCTGGTTTCCCGTGGCTCCTGGTCCTGCCAGTGGGGTTTTGGCAGGTGAGCTTGTGCCCGCTTTAAAGCTAATGGCATAAATTATATAAATTAACTCCTATGTTATCAATTTTTTAAAAAAGCAGCAGCAAACCGGGAACTTCCCTCCAATAGGCCTGTAACAACCGCGGCACCACAAGCGTCTCTCTTCTTGGGCATCCTGTTTTATGAATTTCTGATATCCCCTTGCTTTGCGTAACGTAGGCAGAATCGGCTCACTGACATGGTTGTGATCAGATTTCGATCCAGCCTTCACTTTGTTCGTGTTATTTTCAATCTGAGGTTTCAAACTGCACCCACTTATTTAAAAGTCACACTCACACACACACACACGCACACGGCCTCCGCCAAGCAGGACTTCGTGGGACATTATCTCTTTGCTTCTGATGACCATTTGAGGAAAAATGGTTACGAACAAACCTCGTGCTAGTTTTGAGAACTGCAGATCTATTTCAGACCCGGCGTGTTGGAAGGAATAATAATCCTATTCTTTAAGAACAGCAAACAACAGCAAACAGCAGCCAGCCAATTAAAACAACAGAATAACCCCCCCGCCGCCCAAAGAACAGACTTACAAAATTATGTAAAAGCGATTTTCCTGCCCACGCCAGAGACTACAAATGACTTTGGACGCAATCCTACACTGGGTCAAGACTGTTTAAAGCCCACTACAATTTAAACTTTTCTGAGGATTTCAGCCTTCAAAGGCAAACATAATTTGTTTCCAGTTTCAGGGCCACCTTCTCCTGCCTGTGGATTTTATTTCGATCCTTTGCTCCCAGTCTAATGGACAGAGGAATTCTGCCCTTTCTATCCGCCCGGTCCATGTTTACTGCTTCTTTCGGTCCTCTTAAGAGCTCAGCTCTTAATACAGTCCTAACCCTATTTTGCCAACGTGGAGATTCCAATTCAGTGAGGCGCACGTTGCTCCCCGAGGAAGTTTATTCGAGCTCCTCCTCAGCTCGCATTGATTTCAGTGGGGTTTGCGCAGGAGAACTTCTCACGGAATTGGATCTGTTATGGGAACTAGGCAGGGAGCGGTGCGCATCTCTCTCATCTGTTCATGTATCTTTCAGTGAAACGAGGCGGCCGTTTGTTTTGCCTGCTCTTTCTACAATGGCTGGGTTTGTATAAGGTTTTGCCAGTAATACATTCGAACACATAGTAAATAACAATAATTAAAAACTTTTCTTTCTGTTTAAACCTGCGCGTCCGCGTCCAAAAAGTTGTATTGGAAATTACCCCTATGACGGGGTATCCCGAATGTCAGGGTTCCTCTCTCTCCCTCTCTCTCCCTTTCCCCGCCACCGTCCAGGCGACACTTGCGCCTTCCCTTTTGTAAAAATGGCGGATCATGCTGATAGTCGACCTCGAGTTCCAATTCAATCAGCTCTCAATCAATAATAACGAGATTGCACTTAAGGGACTCCCATATAAAATTATTATTAGTGTTAGTAACAGGATCTCTTCCCTTTTTTTCCAGAGCTGCACTTCATTGTTGATCTTGCTCGGTTGCCTTGATCGGATATGTACAAAACACCGATCCAGCCCAGTTCTGGAACCACCCAGGAACTGTCTTGATGAACATTTTCAGATCAAGCTTTGCTGGGGTTGGGGGGCTTCTCTGCCCCGCTTTCCCGCCCACCACTGGAGCGGATGACAAAATTACGCCAGAGAACAACCTGCTCCCAGCGGATAATCCCCAACTCCGCGTTAACAAATCGTTCCTTAATCCCCCTGTAGTCTTCAGCAAGTAGGCAGATACCTGGGCTTGTGGCCTGAGGATGATCTGGAGCCGAGGAGGACTTAGACGGCAGAGGGAGCTTGCCCCTGTCTCCCTAAGCCAACCGAGTCCAGTTGGTTGCCGTCGGAGCCCGCCAGCGCAGGAGAAGGTCGCTGCGTCCCGGGAGCGGGCATCTCTTGCGGGGGTCGGGGGAGGAAGAGCAACAGGGCGGTTCGGTTTATTTTGGGGTGTGTGTGCGGGGGTGGGTAGGTGTTTGTGGGGTTGTTACCATGTCCGGCCATAGAGCAAGCTGGCGTTGACCAGGCCGCCGTTATACTCGACGGCCGCCGCGTCCATCTGCGCCAGGGCGCCCACTTGGCTGTGCAGCGAAGGCGGGCTGGGGGACATCTCTTCTAGGTCCGGCGCCTGGCCCAGGGAGGTCACTTGCTGCTGCTGCTGCTGGGGGTGCTGGGCAGCGCTGCCCCCGGCCCCGCTGGCGCTGGGAGCTTGTCCGGCAGACTGACCGGCGGCGGCGGCGGCGCTGTGCGGGCAGGGCTTGCCGTCCTTGACCAGAACCGGCACGGCCACGCGCCTGGGAGACGCCGCTTGGGCTTGCTGCTGCGGCTGCTGCGGCTGCGGCTGCTGCTGGCACAGGCCGGGCCCCTCGGGAGGCGTCTGCGTCTGCGGCTGGTGCTGGAGCTGCTGCGCGGCCTTGTCCTTGGCTTGCCTCTTCATCTTGTAGCGGTGGTTCTGGAACCAGATCTTGACCTGCGTGGGCGTGAGGTGGATCAGGCTGGCCAGGTGCTCCCTCTCGGGCGCCGACAGGTACTTCTGCTGCTTGAAGCGCCGCTCCAGCTCGTACACCTGCGCCTGCGAGAAGAGCACCCGGCGCTTCCTCCGCGGCGCAGCGTGCAGCCCGGGCGCCAGGGACTTGGCAGCCTCTGCGATGCCCGACAGAGCCCCCATGCCGGCCATGTTCATGCCCCCCGACGGGCCCATTAGCCTGGAAACTGAGCACACACACACGGGAGAGTTAGGAGGCGGTTAGAGTAGAGGGCAGTCTCGGGGAAAGGGACCTGGGGCCGAAAGCGTCACCCTCACCAAGTATGGAGAGCTCAGCTTTATTAAGCGCTTAAGGCGACTGAGTCCCAAAGAGCTGGGACTCTTATGCGCCCTGAGATGTCAAGAGTGTCCCTGAGCACGTCCAAAGTATTTTCCCCCTCCCCACTGCGGAATTCCAATTAGCTCCCCAAATTTAGGGGTAAGGGCGTCCAGATTTGGGGTGCGGCGCTGGAGGAGAAAATGCAGTCTGAGTACCCAGCCCCACCAGTCCCACCAGCCCTATTCCCTTCTAGCCCCTCCCCGCTTACTCGTGGGGTAGCGGGGATCCGCGTTGGCTCCGTACCAGCCCGAGGCGGCTGCGCTTCCGCGCACGCTGTCTGGATAAGGTGCCAGGTCGCCCACGTTGCCCAGTCCGCCGTTGCAGTAGCCGGCCACGGGGCCGTGGGCGAACTGCGAGACGCCGGCGTGCGCCATGGAGTGGTAGGCGGCGGCGGCGTTGTGGGCGCCCATGGGGTGCTGCTGCGGCGGCGGAGGCAGGGCTGCGCTCTGGGGCTGCCGGTAGGCGGCGGCGCCCACGCCCAGGGGGTTGCCCAGGCTGCCGTCCATGGCGCCGAACTTCTTGTAGGTCTCGTCCATGGGGCTGAGGATGTCGGAGACGGAGAAGGGCGTCGTGTGCTTGGGGCTGAGCGACATGGCTCGCCGGGCGAATCTCCTGGGCTCCCTGCGCGCTCGCTCGCTCGCCCGGCCGACGCGGCTGCCCAGTCCGGACGAAAAGGGGGCTGAGCGCCGCCGCCGCCGCCGCCCGCCGCCGCGGGAGCCCGGCCAAGGAGAGGAGGGGGCGGCAGCAGGAGGAGGCGGCGGCGGCGCGCCAGCCCTCCCGCAGCTCTCGCCTCCTAGCTGGGGTTTCTTTTAGTCCGGCGGCACCCGCTTTACGACAGACACCGGCGGGGGCGGAGCCACAAGGAAGGCTGCCCCCCCCAGCAGCCACTCGCTGACTCTGCGGCTGGAGCCCCCTCCAGTGGAGAGGGGGGTCCCCCGCCAATTAGAGAGGCACCTCCCGCTGCTCCAAGGTAGGAAACCACTCCCCGCGTACAAGGAGCCCCCACCCCAAGCTCCTCCAAGGGAGCCCCTGCTAAGCACAGGGGACCCCGCCTCCCCGAGGCCCTCAGAGGGAGAGGGACCCCAACCCGGAGGGTTCCCTCAGCAACTATTCGGGACCCCGACCCCGCTCACTGGGAACCCCTGAGAGAGCCAGGCGGAGAACCCTCGACGCCGTCTCTACTTCTTGCTCCAAAAGCTGGGGGAGGCCGAGTCCTGCGAGGCCCGGGGCAAGCAAGGCCTGCCTTGGACACCATCCTAAAGGACATCCAGATGGATGGGTGGGTGGGCAGGCCTCTGCCCTGGACGCCTCTTCAGGCTGCTGTACCGACTGCTCGAGGGTGCGCTCCAGGCCCCTTCGGCACGACCCTCGGAGTCAGCGCACACCCGCCTGGCGCCTGAGAGCGCCAGCCGCTCTTGGACTGGGTCCCTTTTGCGCCCTCCAGCAAAACTGTGGCAGCGAAGTTGGCGAAAGAGGAAATGCCCCCCGCTTGAAAGCAACACCTTGAGCGTGCGCGCGTGGATGAGAACGTTTCTCCTGCCTTACAGGGTTGTTGTAAAGATGACTGAGATAATAGAAGAGGAGCGCTTTGAGCCTGGAAAAAGCGCGTTATAATTGCTAAGTAGGATATGATTTGAATTGAGGGTTGTTTGAAACACCTAACTGGAAGCAAGCTTTGAAGTCCTCCAGTTCTCTTCCTTCAATATTGGGCAGTGGGAAAAGAAAGCGAGAAGTCGAAAGTCTTGTCCAAGGAAAAGGGATGTCCAAGTACTGTACAGGACAAATTGCGCCTACGAAATCTGCGGATACTGCAGTGTGGGGACTGCATGCCACATGCGCTTACTTCACTGGGCTAAAGAAAGAAAACAGCACTCCCCTCCCCCCCCCCCGGTACCCAGGAAAGGATAGATTTCGGCTCCCTGCTACAACATTGCTTGAATTTTCCGGTCCAACCTAAGATATCGAGTGAAAATGAGCGTGCCGTCGGAGCACGGACTACAGAGAGTGGCACCGTTTGGGAAGCGTGTCCCGTGGAAACGAAAGCGGATTTGCTTCGACCTTGTGCTTAAGGATGAGGATTGGAGCTTTCCCAGTTCTCTGTCCGTCCAAGAATCCGATTCTAAACGCATACCTCGGGAGAGAGTGCTTTTGTTCCAAGTCACGTCGGAGCCGGATGATGAAGAACAGCAGCTTCTCCTTAGCGTGACTTCTCGGGCAGAGACCACGTTCTCCTCTGGAAGCTAGAAGCGAGATCCGCCTGGCAGCTGGATTTACTAAAGCAGGTGTGGGTGGGTGGGTGTAACCACGGAGAGGAGAATCTGGGTTGACAGGATATTAAACGTGTGCCAGACCTGAACCCGTCGGGTCCCCTACCGTCGGATTCCTAACTAGGGCTGAGTCTGATTCTAGCGCTGGGTCTCCTTCAAGTGTTTTGGTGACGGCTCTTATCTTTAGAAGAAACGCAGAGGTAAAAAACAAGCGCCCTCCATTTACAACCCGCTAGAGACCGATCCCCTCCTGTCTCTGTGTGTGGCTTCACTCTTTTGCTTGAGAAGGACCGGCGCTCTACCGCTGTGGCCCTCGAAGAGTTCCACGTCCCGCGCCTTTCCTGTCCTCTCTGAGTAGGACTGAACGCTGGCTGGGGAGGTGAGACTAGACGGTGCCGACCTCTCGTTGATCCAGATGGAGCGACCCCTGTGAGGATGAAGAGCCGCCAGTGCTCCCGTTTTCTAGGAGCAGCCCTGAAAGCGATCGCCTTTGGCCTGGGAGAAAACGTGTGTGGAGACGAGGTCTAGCGGCAGTAAGAAAAAGTGAGCGACGGTCAGGTCTAGTCCTGGCTCTACTGCAGAAGCTCTACGAGCTACAAAGTTGCTCGCTGAAGAAGGAAAATGAAACGCCTACCGACTCTTGTCAGGGGCGATGCGGAGAGCGCTTCCTTCGGGAAAGGAGAGGGGAAGGGGGAGTTCTGCTCCCTGTGGACTGCCCGCTGGCAGTTGGAAGTCTATAAGGTTGTGGGCACTGTGGGCATCAGGGTGAAGAACTAACACTCTGCACGCGCCCAGAAGTACTTACCTGTGTAACACAATAGCTAACAATAGCATACGTTATTATGTGACTCTCCATACGTCTTGGCCCAATAACACCAAAGGGTGGTGCTGAGCGGGCATCCCCAAAGGAGGTGTGCCTGCCACAACGCTAACAATACCTGCGATATCGAGGTGCTTTGGACAAATGCTGGTGCAAAGTGGGCAGTGGCGAGTGGGCAGCAAACAGCAGCCGGACCAGGCAAGTAGGTCACTAGCCTATGGCTTTCTTGGCTCCGATGCCAAGTCTCCTCCTCTTCCAATTTTCTTTGCCCGCTCTTGGAAGAGGCTTGCTGTTGAGCTTACTTCGGAGAAGGGCACCAGGAGATGTCAACCTATGTCTGGCTGATGTCACTTCAGATGGCAGGCTCCACACCAATAGAAAACCATGCTCTCTTGACTGCCTTGATGACGCGCTTGTTTCCTGGGAGTAAGGATCCTGTTTGGGGGAAGCATGCCATCACATGTGTCATCTTCTGCAGTCTGAAGTGGCACTGCCAGCTCAGGCAAGGGTCCCTGTCTGCTGCTTGAAAGCACGGGCATCTCTTTCAGAGACCCCTTTGGGACAAAGGGGCACAGGAATCTAGTCAAGGTTCAGCACTTTGGAGGCCCATCGATTTCAGTGGGAGACTTCAGCTCTTGCTTAAACCTCTCCCACTGAAATCAATACTTAATTTAGGCTGCAAGTCCTAGACCTACGTACATGGGTGTAAGTCCCACGGAACTTCTGAGCAGGCGTGCGCAGGGCCGTGCTCTTAAAGTGCTGGGTGTTGACTGTATCGGACCTTTACAGGGTGAACTTATTTTATGTAAGGGTTGTGGTGGTGGTTTTGCTTTTTTTTTTTTTACTTGTGCTGCTTTTAACAAAACCTGTATTTCGGTCGAGAAGTTTAGGGGGGCTTATGTTTTATACATATGTGGGGCGGTGTATATGTGGTAATGAATGGAGGAAAAATGAATTACTTTCAGCAATGAAAATGAGATCCACCTTGGAAGCATTTTGAGTGCCTTAAACATCGGGGGAACCCCGCAAGGAAATCCCTACTCAGATTAAAGGTTTATACTCTACGTGATCTGCTGTTCAGGGGAAAAGCTTGTTCTGGGTGCCTTTATAAAGACATCGGCAACAAAGACGGGGATCTTTCACGACTTGCTCCTCGCAGGAGTTAGTCTCAGTCTTATATATGTGAAGACCTCAAAAGGTTCCATGGAAGTTCCGTCCCAGCAAGAGCGCACTATAGTTATAAAAATTATCAGTCGCGTTTCTAAAACTGTTCAGATCCACTTAGAGAAACAGTTTTAAACGCCATGGTTTAAAACCCTTTAAACAAGTTCACGCTGCTTTGGGACACTTATTGCAACCCACCAGAGAGTTATCCTGAGCAAACGCTCAATATAACTTTCTGATTAATCTTGCCAGTTTTCTATCCATTCTACTGCTACTTTATAGAGCTCAAAATTTGAAGATGATTTCAAGGCCTATAATATTTTCGGCTGTTGCAAACAGTCGCCTTTCCTAATCGAAACCTGACCAAACACCATAAACCCGACGTGAAGCGTTTTTCGCATGTAAACTAATGGATGTTAAAAGTGTTGACTTTTGGTTTTTTTTGCGATTCCGACCGAAGCAACGTAGCTGTCTTGCTGGTACATTGGGAACTGTTGGCTGGGAATGTTTAGGACTGGCTTTTTCGAATGGGACGCCGGTAAACCGCCTCTCTCTCAATAGGTTACTGGGTTTTAAGAAAACTGGGGTCACCTCTTTACACCTCGCTGCTGTAACTCTCAGCACAAGTAACCCAGAAAGGAGTTTGTAGATCGCTGGCCTTTCCACGTTACTGGAGTGTGAGGGAAGGAGGAAACCTCGGTGAAACGTCGCCTCCTCGTTCGCCAGGGCACCGTTTGGAAGAGGCGCACGAAACTGCGACTGCCAAGTCCATTCCTACAAGGAGTGCGATACATACCTCGATATAAGAACTACCTCCACCCACCCGCAGGTTCAAGATCAAAAACTCCCCACGTCTAGGAGAATGTAAGAGCCTGAGAAGAAGAGTCCTGCAGGATCAGGCCACTTCTTTCCGAAGAGACCAAGCATTGCCTACGGGAAGCCCACAAGTGGGGACCTGAGTCGGGGATGGATGGGGCGCGAGGGCCCCTTATCCAGCCATTGATCTACGCCAGGGAATTGCCCTCTTGGCTCTGGGGAGCCCCGTCTGGTGTCCCCGAGTCACCATTCTTCCTGTTGCAAACGTTTCTGAAAGGGGAAAAGGCACCCTATACAACCTTATCCTAGACGTGTTTGGGTTCCGAGGCTCCATCCTCCCAACCTGAAGCGGTTGCGGGCGGGCGGGCGCGGAGATGTGAAGGAAGCAGAAGAGATGAAGGTTCGGAGAGGGTTCCGATTTCGTGGCCCGTCGCGGCGGCGGCGGAAAATCCACAGAGAAATCAAGGGCGTCAGGCAGGGGGAGCTGCTGAGGTTGGGGGCAGGGACGTGGGGTAGGACTCGCGGA